ATAGTAGCGTGCTCTCTTACCACCATACCTTGATACTTCCCCCTACTCAGGAACCCTTTGTCTCGTGACACCCTAGTGGAGCGATTCATAACACTAAGCTTTATCTGTCGTTATCGTCTTCTTACTAGCAACAATAGAGTTACGAAGCTTTAAGGCTCGTGTTTTTAGCTTACTCTACGAAAACAATATCTCTCGTAGCACAATATAGCTCGTCTCTTTATTCTGATTTCGAGAAGCTATCGATAAGAGCTACGGACCGTACTCGCTAGAGTACGTCGAAAGGTTACACTAGCTAATATACTTAAACGACGTAGTTATAGAGCCTATAACCTCACCGGCCTAGAGTAGAAAGGAGTCCGCTATAGCTATAGGCTTACCAAGCTAGTATCGTGCTCGAAGTTATTACTAGGTATCCCGACGTAAGCGATAAAGTAGTGCCTAAGGAACGTTTAAGAAAGAAGAGATATATAAAGAAAGTCTAGCCTAAGCTATAGAGATATAACGCACTATATAATTAAGGTAGTATAACGCTACCTTCCTACGTCCTTGATCACTATACGTAGCTACTAGGAGCAAACATAAAGAGATATTTATGAAGTTACCTACGAGGCAGCATAAGAAAGGGCCTGAAGTGCTACCTTGCACTACCTTAGAGGCAGTATAGAAACGTATAGTAGTTCGCTCAAATTGAAACTATATAACCCAGTTAAGGTATAAAAGCTAGGAGATACTCAGCCCATCTCACCTAAGACTAGATATTAAGAATATAGGCATCACTAGCTTCTCCTAATAATAACACTAGCGAGAAGGCACCGACTAGATTTCATAAATTATCTATCGCGTCATCTTCAGTAGCTTCGAGCACCCGTAAGAAAGATACCTAACCTAGTTAATATAGGATCAATTATTTAAGTACTTCCTACTAAATATTAAAGTACTTCGCAGGGTTCGCCGCTTAAAAGCTTATAGGGCTAGTCTCTAATATCGTTAGATATACTTTAGTAAAGCGGCGAAACTCGTCCATAATATCGTCCTCACGTACGGCAAAGTTTACTACGAAGTATTTATCTCGGTCGATAATAGGTCGGGTATTCCGGGTAATCTTTAACTACCTACTAGCACTATCGATAGCTTTCTAGTTAAGCTTACGGCGTCCGTCGTCCTCGGCGATAATCTCTAATAGCACTATATAGCGGTAGAGATTAAGGCCTTTAAATCCTTAAGAATAGGGGCTAAGAATATAAACTAATAGGCTTAGCCTATATATAGTATATAAGAACTATACTACCCGCCGTAGATTACCGATACCGACTTGTTCGATACTTCTAGCCTAGGTAAAGTTCAGAAACAGTAGTCGAGTATATAGTAGAATATTATAGATAAGGCTAGAAGATTACTAGCCTTCCCAACGGCTAGGCACGAATATATAGGTACTAGAAGAGTAATATCCGAGGTCGTAGATTACTCCGTATTTCCTACTAGTATTCAGAAAGTACTCGTGTTTTTTAACCTAATACTTACTTTTTTTTATATAAGACTCCTAACTAGGCTATCTAAGCAGCCTTATATTGCTTACGTGACCATCGACGTCTAGTCCCCACTAGCGGCCTTAGAGGGTTTCGCACGACGATCTTAGGCTCTATCTCCTTTACTAATAGCGGCTCGATATCCGAGTTTATTCTAGGGATAAAAGGTCTTCGTTTATAAGAATTCATTAATCCTTATCTTCTACGCTAGTCCAATAGTCTCTCTATATTACGTATCGTTTATTCTATTGCTCTATAGCTCTATCTTACCTTGAACTAGGTAACCTACTCGGCGAAGAGCCGTAAGCGCTAATATCTCTTCGCGTAGAACTATAAGTCAGGGATATCGTCTTAGGGGATAAAGACCGCCGCGTCATCGTCTTTAGATACGCTAAGTAGCTAGTCCTAGTATATAAAAGGAGAGAAGATAGGTTATAACTTATCTCTATTATAACTATTCTAGAAGGCGCTATAATAAGTAGTCCCGAATCTTCGAAGTATTATTATATACTCTCTTTTTAGCTTAACTATAATATATCGACGAGGGGTACTAGTATAAACGATCTTAAAATCACTTACGTAGGGTCGTAAGGTAAATTCCTCGAATCGATATAACTTCGAATATATATTTAAAGCGTACTATAGATTCTTGAGTATATCGAAATTAGATAAAAAGAACTATTATAGTAGGGCTAAGATACTATATATAGCGAGCTACGGATAGTCGTTATATATAATTCTATTATATAGATTATACCTATTGATAGAGTTAGTACTTAGTTAGTTTTCTACACTAGTCCCTCGTATCGTACGTACTAGATCTTATCTATATTATTATAGTATATCAACAAAGAGCGCATCCCCTTTAAGAGCATAGATAATAGCATTACGAAGAGCGCCTAGAGCATCGAAAAATATTCGGTAAGTCTATCTAATAATAGTATCTCTAGGAAATAGACGTCGAACTTCCCGCTCATAGCTTTTCCTTTATCTTTCTACTACTAAATATAGAATGCTAATATAAGTGTAACCTACTATAGAGCCGAAGGATTCTAGATAACGAAGGTAGCGCATTGATTTTGCCCCTCTCTTATACAAAGTGTATAGTAGTAGAAACTACCTCGGTATGACGATATCGATTAAGGCTAAATAGTCTTGATATCTAGACCGAGAAGCATTACGTTTATGGCATTAGCTTCGGTCACGGTAATCAATTTCTCTAGAGGTGCCTCTATTAGGATCGATACCGTACTATCGCTAAGAATAAGTTCGTCGTCGATAGGAGCACCTTCTCTTACTCTTATATACTCTTGTATAGTCTCGTTCAATACTTACGAATATCTTGCCTCCTATAGAAACGGCACTATATAGCCTTTAAGACGTCGTCTATACCTAAGGTAAAGACGACTAAGCGAATCCACTATAGTTGATATTATACTTTATTTAGTACGAAGAGGTTTTTCCTCCGGCTTTGTATATAGGTAGGCTTCTACGTAGTAGAAAACAAGTTTAATAAACACATAATAAACGTTTTCAGAAACAGAGAAACCCCCTTTCTTAAGCGATTGCTAGTATGGAAGTCGTTTATATTCGCAACCTAAACAATAGTTGGAAATCTAGATAATAGTGTGGACTAGCTAAAATACGTTGTGCTCTAGGGAAAAAACCTAGTAGTAGCATAGTTCTAGTGAGAAAATATCTTAACAGTCTCCGCCTAGACACATCGCGAAGATAGTGCAAACTTAGCCTCTAATTGAAGACATCACTCCCCAAGAGCCATGGTGTCACGAAGCGATAGATGGTAAATTGACTCTCAAAAAGGCCTATTCGAGACTTAAACATAGAACTGAAGCCTATGTTTTGTCTATGCCAGCTACAGCTACCCTTGCATTGACGGACCTCTGCTACGATAGGGGACGTAGGATGGTAGGAGTCTGCCTCGATCAGAAACACCAAGGTTTTTAACTAACCGTCTCTTTTAGGTGTACATAGTCATCAAATACAAAGAGACTACGTCACTACCAGATCTACTATATGTGTCGTAGGCGTAGACTATAGCCTAACAAGAAGAATAGAAGGCTATGAAGCCAGTCATTCGACTTGACCGTATCGCTAGCAGCCACGAATAGATTCAAGATAACGTCTTGATATTACCATTTCACGTTAGAGAAAACCGATACGTGTCACCTAGTGTTACCTTCCTCAACGGCCTGCTCCCCTACCTAATTAGATCTCCATATGATCATAGCCTTCCCTCCCCATCTCAAGTCGAAAGGCATCAGGATCATCAATCTCCACAATACAAATAGAGTGATAGTAGTAGAGACAGTAAGATCAGGATTCAACGTATTAATGGACTAAGAGGTGTCTTAGACGGCCTAAAGTCGATGTATAAGAGTAATAATAAGCATTTCTTAACTAAATCCAAGTTCTTCAATACTTGGATAGTTTAGGTCGTGAATAAAGAGTGAATACATAGGGACGTGAAGCTAAGCTCTTGGGTTAGAGGTCTAGGGAAAATAGCCTATATTACCGAAAAAGCAAGCGTAATTTAGCGTCGGTACCCTAGTGGAACGGAATGCTGCTTATATATAGAAGAAAGATAACTACCACGAATAGATCGATTATTGGGTCTTTTTCTATGCTTTTTTTAAGCTATTAAATCTCAGAACGATCTCAAAGCTCCTGGTGTGTACTCTTCATAGCCTTAAACCCTTTTAGTAGGTTGTCCATTCCCTATAGTGACTTACAACTTACCTTTTTGGTATAGCACATCGGAAACATTAACTGACTATATAGTAATGGCATCCACTCAAGCGCCACAAAAGGTATTAAAAGCCAGCTATGAGACCCTCGTTAGTAGCGTCGTCTTCGATCATACTCGCGTTGATCCTTTAAGATACAACAATTTGAAAGAGGCAAAGAATATCAAAGCTTTCACGGATATAGTCGAAGACTATATACTCTATATGAAAGAAGATACTTATCAGCATTAGGGCTAGGATGAAGAGAGAGAGAAGAGAGCTACTATTATATTTATGTCGATAATCAATAACGAGAAAGGATAGACCCTAGCAAGCAATGTAGTACTAGAGTTCCAACGCCTAATATTAGGCCACCCTACGTACGCTATAGCAAAAAGCTGACGAACCCTAGATTTAAAACGACAAACCTTGCTGATCCGCTACGATACATCCTAGATACCGTTAAAAGTCGCTTATCTCATCGGGAAACCTATTTCAAAATTCGACCGAGCGCGACCTAGAAGTGGGAAGAGAACCTAGCCTAGCGTTATGAGAAGAGGTTCGTGGAGTATCTAGGCTAGCGAGCAGGCCAAGCGAGTCAGACAAGCGATAGTCGAATAGCAGAGATCGAACAAGTTCTGGAAACATTGCAACTTGTCGTGAAGACAGAGGCAGAGCCAACAAGCGAGCAAGTCTCGGCATCACAGAACGCTACGTTAAAGTTCTCGCTTTATACACGGAGCACCGTCCCGGCGTTGTTGTTCCTAATGTTCATGTCAATATTGCTAGTGGTGTATATAAGAATAGTGCAGGAAGACGAACAGAACGATAATAAGCAAGAGGAAGATGGAAATGACCAAGACGAAGAGGACGAAGATGAACAGGAGGAAGATGAAGATAAACAGAAGGAAGATAAAGAGAAATAGGAGGAAGATGAAGATAAATAGGAGGAAGACGAAGATGAACAGGAGGAAGACGAAGATAAACAGGAGGAAGACGAAGATGAATAGGAGGAAGATGAAGATAAACAAGAGGAAGACGAAGATAAACAGGAGGAAGACAAAGATAAACAGGAAGAAGACAAAGATAAACAGGAGGAAGATAAAGATGAACAAGAGGAAGACGAAGATAAACAGAAGGAAGACGACGAATAGAGTCGCTAGGTCAATCTGGCAAACCATATTTCCTTTCGGAGAATAAGAAAGCTATATATACAGCTCGAGTTTCATCGTGGCAGAAGATACCAGGCGAGGCAGGTACCTACGTATAGGTAAGAAATTAGTGTGGATTCATTAATAATAACGTGCAAGGACAGTAGATATCTAATATAATCGTTCAGTACGAGGAAAAATATATCGCCGACGTCAAACGCACGTGAAAAAAAATCAAAGCTTGTTGAATTAGACAACTTTAAATTTTGATTAATTCCTCTGTCGAAATAGATACGATCTAACGAACAGTCGGCCGGCCGCGTGGCCTAATGGTTAAGGTAAACCGCCTATTATGCTCGAAATCGGTGGACATTTGGCTAAAAAAAAAAGGCGTTGGTTTTCGGATATTGAAGATATCTTCGATGTGAAAAACACCAAAGATTGGGAGTTCGAATCTTCCCGCGGTATGTACACTCAAACAATCTTGGTAACATCACGACTAATCATCCTTCAGGTCGCTCCATGTGACACAGTCTTTTTTTGTTCTTTTTAGGTCTTGCGCTGTTGTTGGGTGAGCTGCGCGTGTAAGGAACCAATTTTTTTGGGGGTCTGGAGGGGCATTCAGATCGAATCGGAGTGGAGATCGAGGCCCATCATGCTACGCTCGAAAGAGCTCGGGCGGCAGCGACTACTCGACCACCTGAAACTCTTCTGGTATGTTCCGCAACGACAGCAACATGAACTGTATTGAAGTTATACGAGTCTTGCTGGATGCCGCGAAGAAACGCTGCAGCAGCACAGCCGATCTACACGACGTTTCAACAAAAAGAAAGCATGGAAATCGTCACAAGCGCGAAAACAGCACGTCAGTGTGCTTGTATTGATTGCGGCTGAGCAGGAATAGAACTAGACGTGGTCCGTGACGAAGCAGCTTCCTTTGCCGCAAACTTGGCCGCTTCCTCAGCCTGGTCCTCACGGATCTTCTTCAGCAACTCAGGATACTATTACGACAAATTAGCGGCCAAAGCCACACAAGGGATACTCAAGACTTACCCATCGCTCACCAACGTCAGGATGACTCTTGATTCTGTTCATGAGCGTAGCCTCGCCCAGCCTGCTCCACGCACCCCTGATGAACGTGAACTCGATATCATCCAGCCTGACGCCACCCCTTCGCTCCAGGATATCCGATCTCAACTTCTTCACCGAATCTGGAACATCCATACTCTCAAATGTGGCGTCGTAACTGACACCCTGGAAGAAAGGGATACTGAACCGCGCGCCAGTGCCCCGAGCTGGACTCTGCACTCTATGCGTGGTCGACTGGCAGACACCCTGCGTTAGAGCCTCCATACCTTGGCCGATAGCCACGACAAACGTGCCGTCAATAGGTGGAGCATCAACCCACTGACCCTCCGCGTTCTGAACCTGCAGACCGCGATGATGACTCGCTTGCAGAAGATAACTCGTTAACATACTGTCCTTGTGCGGACCCACGCCTTGAGCTTCGCCCTCGACACCCAACTCCTCGAGATCCGGGTACTTGACGATTTTGAGTTTATGTTGCTGCGCTTCGTCGAAGAATTGGGCGAAGGCGTTGGACGGTAAGCCGATCGCTTCGGCGATCAAGCTGGTGAATTCCATACTCATGTCCCCCATGCGAGCCATGTACTCTTCGTAGACTTCACGGAATCGCGGTAAAGCATTCTCGTCAGGCCACAGGTTTGGCGCGAGTAAATTCCTATATAACGGATCATTTGGACCGGGTATGGGATGCGGCGTCGATAGATCGATCTGTTCGCGCCAGTCGGTTTTGAAGCGCGTGATTTCCATGCCGAGTTTATTGTAGCCGAGAAAGGATTTGGCGTTCTTCATTTCGACCTCGAGTTTCTTCTCCTCGGGGAGGTTGAAGAAAGCTTTGCCTAGCCGGATTACTTCGGCGACGAGGTCTGGTGGGACGCCTGTGTTTTTGATATACAAGAATCCAACTTCTAGGAGGGCATGGCGGAGACCGGCGAGAAGTTGGGGTTTGGTCTCTGGGGAGCGGGATAGTGAGAGATCCAGGATTGGGATGCTGGAGAATGACATCCTGGGCTGTCACCAAAAGGGGGTTTCTGATATGTCGGATGGTATAGTGTTTATTATTGTTTGGAAGAAAGGGAAATGAAAGAGAGTGGCGGCTGTTTGATGCTCGACGATGCTTGAGCGATGGCGCAATGCGCCGAGGCCGGAGAAGGTCGTATGCGGGTGAATATGATGCACCCGAGAGGCTCGTGGGCTGATCCTCGTTGACGCAAAGGCTACTTTCACAATTTCATACTTACACTCAGACATTTGGAGTATATTTGCTAGAGTGTGTCTGCTCGAGGGTGGCATCAACGAGGCCGAAAAAAAAGATAGTACAGTAGAAGTTGCTGGATGAAATTGTAGATCGTATAACTGACTCCGCCTACATAGAGCAAGTCTCATTCCTTACAATCAATCCAAGAGAATCAACTCGCCGTCGTTGTTGCTCACACGCTGATCCAACCTGATAGAAGTCCTGTTCCAGCAGCCATCGCCTGTTCCCAACTCTGCTTCCAACACCTTTCCGTTCTCACACAGTCTCACATCCCTTGCACTGGCACCGAAGTTGCCACCTCTAGCCCACACGAACTGACCGTGCTCATTAGCCAGACAATTGTTCAGCGAGATAGATGATAGCTTGTGATTCCCATGGACGTCAGCGCACGATGCGATCAGATCATAGTCTCTGTCCAAAGTGATGCTGTGAGACGAAGCAGAGAAATTACCCCGTGACTGAACGTATTGTTGAGGTTGATCTTGCGGACGTGGTTGCTGCTGAGGGTGCTGCTGGTACTGGTGCACCCCGTATGTCCCGGCACCGACAGCTGCAGCAGGTGCGACCCAGCCGTGCTTCTTCTTTTTCTTCTCATCGTCCGACGAACTACTGCTTGACGAAGAGTCTCGACGAAGAGGATTCTTCTCCTTCTTGTGTTTCTTGTAGGCATCTTCGGTCATGGACCCGGCGATCGCGCCTCCAATTGTGCCCAGAAAGCCGTGGTGTAATTTGTGGCCGCCATATGCTCCTAGAGCGCCACCGGCAACGGCACCCATGAGCCCTCGGTCTTGGGCTTGTGGGTCGTTGGGGTCCAGAGGAGCCCCAGGAGCAGGTTGTGGAGGGTATGGGCCTGTCTGAGTATGAGTAGGGGGTGGTCCTGCTGGTGGGATGAAACTGTTGTATTGAGACTGTGGATTTGGGGAGTATGCTCGGGAATCAGGTTGGTCATTGTAACCATAAGATTGGGATCTGTACGAGTATTCCTGTTGCTGGTAGGAATATGGCTGGGTTGGTGGAGGAGAAGAGTACTGATTCGAAGACTGATTGTCCGAGCCTGGATAGGCTGCTGGTTGATGATATGGTGGTTGATAGTCCCGACCTTCCTCATATGGGCGGTTCTGGTCGTAACTTGAACCGTAAGGTTGCCCACCGTAGCCCTGAGGTGGTCCAGAAGGAGGTTGCCATTGTTCCTCTTGATTACCTCCGTAGCCCCAACTCTGGCCAGGACGCTGATTGTTCCAGTACTCTTGGTCCGACATGTTGCTCAGTCCTTTGGAAGCTTCTTCCCAGACCTCATCACTCATCGGGAACTTACTGTCTTATAAAAGCTTTGAGGGGTAGTGGTGATCGCTAGGCATCCTCGTTTCAGGCTCACCGCCCTAGCATTAGATGGGAAAGGACTGTGGCTGAAGGTCATAACACAGCCACCCATGGATACATTCCCTAGATGTGATAGGGAGACAGCCTTGTAGAACAGCCACGTTCTATCTCCCTACGAGGGATGAGAGGCAGCTGTGATACCACTAGGCAATGCATCCGGTCTATGCAGACAGGGTCGCTCAGCTTGACAAGCTGATATGCAAGCTCCTTATGATGCAACCGATGAAGATCCGGGCCCAATGAATGCTGAAACATTTACGATGAACACCTTACCATGCAGTCATACTCACGGCAAGTCTCCTGACTGGGAGAGCGCCTGAACATGACAACAATGCGCGATCCCGGGATAGTGACCGCAAGGGCAGAATAGGCACTCGATTGGATAGGGAAGGTACTGTACGAGGAGAAGATGATAGTGGTGCCCCTAGTCTCTAAAGTCGGTACTGTACAGGTACTGTACCTTACGTTCACAATCGCTATTGGCGGGAAGGAGTAAGGAATTTAGGTGCACCGGACTTCTCAACTTCCCCTAAGCCAGAGACCAGCACGCCTAAGCGCGGAAATAAGGCGTCATTTAGGTGTCAATCAACCTTCTCCGCACTTGATGCCGAACACATTATCCTGCGGAGTCGGACCCTGCTTAACAAATCCTCCTCTGTTGTCGCTCTTAAGCCTGTTGACTGCCCTATCCGTCAAGGTTGGGTGCAACCATGTCCAGCTCTTCGTAGTGGCAGCCGGTACATCTTCAAGATGAGACATACCCTGCGGCTTGGCCGCTCAGCTGCTTCCTTTGTGCGGTCCATTGAGCGCACGAAACCATCTCAATCGCCTATCCTACGAGCCATCTCCGCAAGAACGTTCCACAGCACCCGACCGAAATCTGAAGAGAAGGGCAGAGAGGAACCGAAAGGAAGTGCGTCCTTTCGAGGTCAGCTTTATGAAAGCACATCAGACCGATTGAAGCGGGAAAGAGACTCTGAAGCCCGGTACATCCAAGCTCAACGCCAGCGCAAAGGAGAGCCGAGGACTTTGGCTCTGAGTGTTGGTACGTATGTCGCTGGCTTCATCTCTACTGGGGGCTGACAGTCATGAGTCATCCTATCCGTGGCCGGTGTGGCCTACTGGCTGGGAACCAGAGGCGAGAAAGCTTTAGACACTACCTCCACCACTCCTCTAGCACGGGCGCATCCTCCTCAACTCGACACACGTACCTCCGTTCTCCAGGCAGCCTGGGTCGACTTCGCTCAAATAGTCGGAAAAGACAATGTCTCCACAGTACCAGATGACCTTGAAGCGCATTCCGGCTCAGAATGGTCCTCTTACACAACAAAGTCCGGAGAGAGGCCGTTTGCTATCGTTTACCCTGCCACTACCGAGGAGGTGTCCAAGATCATGCAAGTATGCCACGCGAGAAAGATCCCAGTGACTGCACTCTCTGGCGGGACTAGTCTTGAGGGTCATTTCGCGCCGACAAGAGGGGGCATATGCATAGATATGATGAGAATGGACAAGATACTGGACTTCCACCCGCAAGATCTGGATATCATCGTCCAACCTGCCTTGGGCTGGGAAGACCTGAACGAATATCTGCGCGAGTCTGGCATGTTCTTTCCACCCGACCCAGGTCCAGGTGCAAAGATCGGAGGTATGGTCGGCACAGGCTGCTCCGGCACAAACGCTTACCGATATGGCACTATGCGTGAGTGGGTGATCTCGCTGACTGTTGTACTCGCCGATGGCACAGTCATCAAGACGAGACGGAGACCACGAAAGTCCAGCGCTGGTTACAATCTGACCCAGATGTTCATCGGCAGCGAAGGCACATTAGGTATTGTCACGGAAGCAACATTGAAAGTGACTGTTCTGCCTAAGAGCCAGTCTGTTGCCGTCGCTACTTTCCCGACCATTCATTCCGCAGCCGAGTGTGTTGCAAAGGTCGTCGGTGAAGGTATCCAACTTGCAGGAATGGAAATTCTTGATGATGTCCAGATGATGTGCATCAACAAAAGTGGAACAACATCTCGACAATGGCAAGAAGCGCCAACGCTCTTTTTCAAGTTCGCTGGTACGCCGGACGGTGTCAAAGAACAAATCAGTACGGTGCGAAAGCTGGCAAAAGCCACTCACAACAAAACCTTCGAGTTCGCAAAGAACGATGACGAGGCCGCAGAACTCTGGAGTGCTCGAAAGGAAGCGCTATGGAGTGTTATGGCTATGCGGAGAGACGAAAAAGACCATGTCTGGACGACCGATGTGGTAAGTATCTTTCAAGGGAAAGTTGATGGTTAATTCTAATCATGATCCAGGCTGTACCTATCAGCAGACTGGCTGATATCATTCAAGAGACTCGAGATGATGTCGCCAGCAGTGGATTGATAGGAGGTATTTGCGGCCATGTTGGTGATGGAAACTTCCACAGTAGGTCAACCAACATTGTGTTCATGAGCATGCGCTGACATTTGCAAAGCCATCTTGCTGTACAACGACACCGAGAAGCAGACAGCCGAAGGGCTTGTACACCGCATGATCCAACGAGCAATCGCTATGGATGGCACAGTTACTGGTGAGCACGGTGTCGGCCTGAAGAAGCGTGATTACATCCGTGAAGAGTTGGGAGAGGAGACTGTCGACGCCATGCGCAAGGTAAGCGGTCCATTTTTGGAGTCATTGCTACAGATGCTAACAAGGAACACAGCTCAAGCAAGCGTATGATCCTCTTGGAATTTTGAACTGTGACAAGATTGTTCAGCTTGAACTGGGACATTGAAGCCTTGTACCAGGAAAAAGCACGATAATATGAAAGGGAGAATGCACGTCGGCAAAGATATATACCGAATACTATATTCCAGAGTGCCCTTCTAGGTCTCAAATACCCCGAGCTGCAACAAGAACTGCAACCCCGCGGCCCAAATTGTTGCCCTCTATTTAGCCTAAATGCCCTCTACAACTTCTTTTCATCTCTTCTCCGGTGGTCACTATGAGATCATTGGTGCACCAGTCCCTCGAGATGATGGATCTTCTGCTCCACGTAGAAAGATCACCTGTGGTGGAAAGCGGTCCGCCAGCCATTAGTCGGCTGCTTGAGAGCGGTTAATTGTGCCTACAGCGTGGTTCTTCTTGTTTCGTGGTTCCTTCTCAACACCGTGACCTTCGCAGAGTCTCTCAACCATGACTACAGAAACGAGCACAAAGGTCGGCACAACCTCAGTGGTGAAAGCGACGATGTACTGACGTTGCACAGGAGAACAACTCTTTCGTCCTTCGGGGCATCAAAGATGTCACGTTCGAGGAACGACCAGTCCCTAAACTCGCCGGCCCTCACGACGTCCGTCTCCAGGTCAACTACACCGGCATCTGCGGTTCGGATGTACACTATTGGCAACATGGCCGGATAGGACATTTCGTGGTCAAGGACCCAATGGTTCTCGGTCATGAATCCGCAGGAACAGTGGTCGAGGTCGGTGAAAGTGTCAAGAGCCTGAAAAAGGGCGACCGTGTCGCAATGGAGCCTGGTGTTCCCTGCCGGCGTTGCGTACGGTGTAAGGAGGGCAAATACAACCTGTGCTTTGAGATGTCATTTGCAGCCACGCCACCATATGACGGAACACTGGCAAAGTACTATGTTCTGCCGGAAGATTTATGCTACAAGCTGCCTGAATCGCTAAGTCTGGAAGAGGGCGCATTGATGGAACCGCTCGCAGTTGCAGTACATATAACGAAACAGTCGGGACTGAAACAGAGTGATACCTGTGTCATTTTTGGTGCCGGTCCCGTTGGTTTGTTATGCTGCGCAGTGGCCAAAGCATTTGGTGCGAAGAAAGTGGTTGCTGTGGACATCAACCGGGAAAGACTCGACTTCGCAAAGTCATACGCTGCGGACTCGACTTTCGAGCCTTTCAAGGTCTCAGCCCCAGAGAACGCCCAGAGACTGATCAGTGAAAATGCTCTTGGTGCGGGCGCTGACGTGGCTATCGATGCCAGTGGCGCGGAGCCAAGTGTGCAAACGGCAATCCATGTACTTCGCGCGGGCGGAAGTTACGTTCAAGGCGGTATGGGACGAGACGAAATCACTTTCCCAATCATGGCCGCCTGTACTAAGGAATTGACGGTAAAAGGGAGTTTCAGATACGGGTCCGGTGACTACCAGACTGCCGTGGATTTGGTGAGTAGTGGCAAGATTGACGTGAAGAAGTTGATCAGCAGGAAAGTCAGCTTTGAAGATGCAGAACAGGCGTTCGAGGACGTGAAGGCTGGAAAGGCCATCAAAGTCCTAATCGAAGGGCCGAAATAGGAGGTGGTGATTGCCGATTCTCAAAAAGAAATTGAATGGGTTTGCCGAGAAAGTCTTTACTTCTTCATTTTATGGACGTGTCCTGGATTTTCGGTCTTTGTGACTCATGCTGTGCTGATTGTCGAACAGTCATAAGTGCATTCTGGTCGTAACGCCTGGAACCGCCGTGAATTTCTTGGGTCGACTGGTTTTTGTGCGGTCCTGGATGCCTGTTGCAATTCCATGGTTCTCCGCTACATTAACATTTCCAGGAAGCCATGGAATGAGGACCTGTCCCAGCAAAGGCTATAAGTATCCCCTCTGACCCTTGTACTTATTTTCTCCTTCATGCTTCGTCTCCTTTTCCCTTGACCCTGGCCCTGGACTTCTGGGGTGGGTGTTAGCATGTACACTTATATATATCACGTCCAGATTTGTCCGATGTCGTTAAGACTTTCCACCACTTACCAAGTCATTTCACTCAGGTGTTCTCCACCTGCAAAGAACATGCCTCTGTCCCTGAAGGGTACAATGCAAGAGCCATATTGGTTGCAAGAATCAGTCAACTGAACCAACAACGACAGCAGCTTTGGGCACAACCAGCAGCTGCATGCGGGGAGCCGCAGCCAGGATGGCTGTCGCAGGGAGTTGTGGCCCCTCGGAATCACTGGAAAGACGGGCTGCTCAGTGGTCAGAAAGCCGTGGCTGCGAACAGGCTTTCGAGACGTCAGGCGACTTGGCCAGGACTCCAGAATTGGATATTCGTCCGTGGAAACAAGATCAGTCATCGACCTGACTGCTTTGACCCAGGAAGCCCTTCCAGCCGTTCGAGCTGCACTCTCATTGCTCCAATTATCTATGTGAGCAGCCCACCAGGTGCTGAGCTCGCCTCATCATCTCCGCCGGCCAGACCAGTGCTACCCTCCCCCACCATTTTCTCGTCCCGTCCGACCTGCCCGGCAGCCTCTGAAAGACATCACGAACATGCCTGACCGGTTCACTGCGGTTTGGCATTCCAGGAATCAGCAATAAGGTCTACTGAATGCTCTACGTCAAGCTGCTTAGGACTCTGACGCCGACGGTCCGGTCGTCATCCAGTCATCCACGGAACTACATTACTATCTCTGGACGAGCGTGCCCTAAACAACGACTAACTCTGTCGCCACTCGTGGATACTGTTTCAGATTTGGCTGTCGCATTATCCAAAGAATCCTGCCAACTGTACAGTTGCGATGACAATACCACAGGGCAAGTAGGCGCCGAAGCATTTCCTCAACCCTATTACAAACGGCCAAGGTCTGCGTGCTGGCGGATTGCAGAGCGGACAGGACAAGAAGACGCGAAAACAACATGATAATGTTTGGGACGACCTTCGGATTCGGAACCAGAGCCAGGTTTCGATGACACAATAAGTTCAGCGACGCGGACCAGGACCAGCTTGGGCAGTAACATTTTCCAGCTCACCGGCCATAGTAGTGCACAGTGAGGTAGGCTGCTATGGTCCTCGCCCAAACAGAATAGCACAACTACTTGGCCTTTTCTTCTGCGTTTTCAGTCGATGATGACTTTCGGACCTGTTATGAACGAACATATTGCTCGTCGCTACACGAAACCACCGTGCAAGACGCCAGTTGGGCCTTCTATCTCGAAGGTCCGTGATGCCCACACCTCGTGTGGCTGTCACATTCTTGCTTTCTGCAGGACCAACCGGAGTATCATTCATACGGATCAAGTTCGAGTGGGCTCTGACACAGCTTCCCCACGCAGATCTCTTCCAAGTGGTCATATCAGGATGAACTGGGTCCGGTCCACATCTGGGCTTTTGGTTCGAAACGTTGAAATACTCGACCATGCTGTTTGTGCTTCGAGAGACACGCGGCACCGGTGGTTGTCGTTGGCTCGCTTGAGAGTCTCTGCGAAGGACAATTGTGCTGGCATGACCGACTGGAACAAGCATTAATGACACCAAGTTAAAAGGCTGCTTATGTCACCAACCAGGGAGTCTTGGCCCCTGTGTCCGACGCCTTGGTGGAACCGTCAGAGATTGTCACAAAGAGCACGCATCAGTCCTGATGGGGCACTATATCATTACCCAAACCCAGCTGAAAGACGATGTTGGTCAGATGCGGCTTTTTAGCGACGAGAAGCAACGGCTGTGCCATATGAGAACAGGATTCGAGATATACTTTCGAGAAGTCCTGGATCAGCTTTACAAGAAGTTACAAGAAGGGATCTCTACCCTAACTTCTGTGAATGTGACAACCTGGATTGCAAAGCACCCCATCGGCGGGACGTCTCCGTATGTTCTCAGACTGAGGTGGTAGTCGGAATCAGAAATGCAGCACCTATACATACCGTGGTGCGAGTTGCATGTAGGACATCAGCATCCACGGAGATAGAGTCTTCTGGATCATCCAGAACTACGCGAGACCGATGAGGCCTTCCACGAAAACATCGAAGACCATGTGGATGTTTGGCTTCTGTATACCCAATCAGCGACTCGCTTACAGGAGAGAGTCAATTGAGCAATATCGAAAAGTATCCGCTGAGCAGTCTCTTGCCTTGGACACATCGATTTGCACTGCCGAACTCAACACCATGACCGAGATTCAAGCAGCAAAACTGGATCATTTCGAAAACAAATTCCTAATCCGTGTGCTCTTTACAGGGAGTGTTCTTCAAATCCATGAAGTACTACTTTCTAATGGTTGTAAAGAGATTGAGGTCAGCCATCATCGGGAGACGTGACCCCACGACGACGGTCCCTATTCGCAAAGACAATGCTACGATCCTTTGAAGCGGACCTGCCATGATCGAAGCTCCAGCGATGAAGTGGGGACCAGCAAGTGCAGAGGTATTTCCGGAACATGAACAAGGCTGCAAACATGGTGTAGCCCGCTCTTGTCTTAGACCTCAGAATCACAGAACAGCGTCACTTTCGTGACTAGCTGCGCCGAGGAAGGCACCCCAAAGATCTATTTCGAGACCAGCCACTCAACATCGATACGCAATCGATACATGAGGCCATACGCACAGTATGCGGAACAATGGACGTCCACGAAGATAGAGTCTTCGAAGCCATAAAGTACTACACAGAGAGCAACGAGGTATTCCATGCAAACATCGAGGGTATGATCGCTTTGGGAGATTCAGCAGGTGTCGCAACGACGCTGTACAGCGACCCAACAGACATTGATATGACCCTTCAACCTTCGAAATCGATCTATCGATACGCGGTCAAGGCGGCAGATCGAGGCCGACTGGGCAAGATTGGGCAAGGCCGAAGTTTTCCGTCTCCATGCATCTGCCTTCTTAGGTGTGAAGCACTCAACACCACTCATTTCTTGCGCTTGAATTCGTTATGGTGGCCGCCAGAACGTACAAACCCTGATCGCAAGGTTCGCTTTCTGGGCCCCAATGGCCTAGTTGAGGAGTCGTTGCTACCGGAGTTCGTCAAGAAGGGGAAAGCCGTCCATGGTAAGAATCTTCCAGCCATCCAACTGGCACACCCGAAAACCATGAGAGTCGACGTTGCTGTCTCTTGATGCGGCAGAACATACGCATCAATGTGCTGACGAGATGTGGTGCCGACAAGAAGCTCTAGCCGACACCGCCAAACCTTGTGCGCAGGCGCTCTCCTTCGCCAACAAAATTGACGACTGCAATGCAAGTGTTGACGTTCACCGACGCGAAAGCCAATAGGGGTGGTCCGCAGACAACGACTCCTGCTGTGAACAGTCGACTCCTGGACAAAAGGCCTCTATCTGTACATATGGCGCCCCCTTCAACTGTGGTGTTCGACGTCTCGGCATAGACGAGCTCATTTCGTCCCATGAATCTTTCTCTGCACCCCTGTCATCCGGTGTCGTCCATAAGCTCTCAGACATGAATGCCGGCGGTTCATATGGCGTCGAAATGTCCGCGTCTGAGGTATGGACCATCTCAAGTGAAGCATTCCAGAGATTGGGTGAGTTCCAGGTGGACGGTACGCTTCAAGCGAGCAGAGAATGGGCCAACTGCGTCGCGAGGCTCTACGCTAGCGACGAGGCAACATGGAACGAGGAGATTGAAGTGCCGGTTTCCCCTGACAGCGTCGAGAGAGTCCGACTTCTGGGTTCCAAGAAAGAAGCTGCAGAGCGGATTTAGATGGCACTCCATCGAAGGGCATCCCAATCACGGCGACCATCGGGAAGTAATGGGACATGGATATGAACCGTCCGCGATTCAGGTACGATCTAGAAGTCAAATGATCACCGCCGTCGCAGTGTTGAAAGCTACAAGGATTCGGCTTATAATGCCGTCGATTTTATTCTGCTCTGGGTTGTCCATTGCCTACAGCAAGGATTTTCTGCATCTGGGTCGATCTTCCTTCGGCCCTTGAGGCCGCGAAGGTGAGAGCAGATCGACGCGTCATGTACCATCTGGCCGAAAGTGAGGAAGTTTGCAAGATGCGCCGTGCATGCGCCCTCTGCATTTGCCGGAATATATATATCATTGAATTCGAGACTACTGTGGTGGTTGACCGTGGTTCGAGAAATACCACATGAGCCTGCTATGGCACCTGTTGCCACTGAATGCAGATGGATGCAGATGGATGCATGGGGATCTTCGTTGAAGATACGTTTCCCAGACAAGTTGGTATCTCTTGTTCTGAGAGTACAACCACCAACAAACATCAAAGGACTACCATTGATATTGATCACATGGCGCACCCAACGTCGTTCCGGCTCACTGCCCGGGCGGCAGTGATATACGCACCACGTGCACAAGGGCGGAAAATCAAACGAGATCTCAAGGGCGATCCGGCGCAAAGGGAGGACCAAGGAACTGGACAGACCCATGCTGTCCTCCGGCTTTCCATGGAAATGCGCTCTGCCATTGTTTTGTTCGGACACCCTTCTTTTGTTTACTGCTTTGCTGGCTTGCCTGGAACTGGGAAATCCACCCAGGTGCAAAAATGAACGGTGGGTCTCATCTGGATCGCCAACGAACTTTGTGGCGGCGCCGCAGGTGCTGACGTTCTCCGACGTTAAGAGCACCAGGATGTCCTCCTCAGGCTTCGACTCCCACTGCTTCGAACACGACCATGCTCAATGCCCCAAGTCCTCGATCATCAACCTTGACGAGAATGCCCTCAGGCAGATTGTGGCGCGAACTTGATATTCCATGCTATCCAAGTGAGCCTCTCCTTGGAGTACGCGAGAGTCTAAGAATCGAAGATAGGGTGTTCTACCTCAATCACGTGGTACCGGAGTCTCTCCATCGCTTGACAAGTACGTCCATAACGGCAAATAGCTACCACATCTCTCGTCACGCCTTCGCCGCAAATTCCAGACATGGTCGGCCACAGCGGCACAAGGACCAGGCAAAAGGTCATTGCCATAGATCTGTTCCTCTCCTACGAGGCTCAAGGACGGCAACCTGCGCCCCTACCCTCGGCGCCGTTGGCGGCCACAAACTGGACCACTGCTCAGCAGGCTCGATGGGCAACAGCTAGATGCGGCGAAGAATGGGATGATGGTGTCCGGGGACTAATCGGCGCGAACAAGAAGAACACCGAGCTCACACGTCAGCGACATGACAACATTCCATACGATCAACTGAACGATAATAACCTACCAGCCTTCTTCAGAAGATTAACCTGCAGTCAAGCGGGTGACCACGAAGCACGATAAGTGCCGGAAAGGTGAAGAACTTGACGCAGAGCCAGGCTAACGAATTCTGGCCGGAAGATCTCGACACGGGTGGCAAGCTGCGAACAAAGCGTAGGCCGTGGGGGAATCGCTACTATGGCCCAAATCTCGGTCTACTGGCACCAGCTGGAACCAACACGAGCGGCAGCCTAGTGAGTGGGAAGACAGCCTGGGAATGCAGGAACTCGATATTAGCGGTAGGCATGACAACATGCCCAGGCGCAATGTCAACCGCCGGTACGATTTGCTGGAAGAGAAGGATGAGCACGGAGTGGACGACGACGAGTGGGGAATCCTCCTTCACGTTGGACCTGAGGATCCAGACGACACCGGCGTCGTGGCACAGAACGTCCCCGGCCGCTCGCGCCGCGGTCACCGTGCTGCTCCTAAAGAAAGCCAGCCTGACCATCGCGGACGAAGCCCACTGCCTATCCAACCCGAAAACCGCTCAGTCAAAATGCCTCGCCAAACTTGGGCCGAAGCAGCGTCGTATCGCCCTGACCGGCACACCGATAAGTAACAACTTCGACAATTTCTACTCTATTTTATCGTCCCTAGATACTTACTAGATCCGGAGACGATACGACAGCGCTTACCCTTTGAAGACGCCCTGAGCGCCCATAGCGACCCGGCACAACGAGAGATCGGATGACATTGTGCGTGTCAAGTTGGAAAAGACACATACAAACAGGAGTGGGTTTGTTGTTGTCGGTATGGTTGAGGAGTTGATCGAGAGTAGCGAAAGATGTCAGCATGAAGTATGAAATTGGCGGCGAAGTTATCAATTTCTCGAACTGACCGAAGTCATTCTTAGTCAGCTTGTCTAGGTCGTACAGTGAGACGTGTCGTCTGGCAACGAATCAAAGCACAGTGTTTAACAAAATACAGCAAAAGGCTTGAAAGGCATTTAGTGACTAGGATAGACTCTTCCGGTCGAAGAGGATAGTGTCGAAAGAAATGAAGGCGAGTAAGCCAGGTTCATTTGACGACTCCAAGCCGCCAAACGAACGCGCAGACCGAGAAAGGTGAACAGTTCACGATCGCCCTAGCGGTCGAAGGAGGAGCACTTCCGAACAAGATCTTGAAGATCGGCTCGTATCGTAACGAGGACTCCCTAGTTGTCGATCCCACTATCAGGATACAGCTTCAGAGGACGGATGACAATGAGGGCATGTGAATCTGCCACCATGTCTACTCGTCAGACATTGAGAGCGTCCACGGTACCAGTACGCGGCGGACTCAAGCGCCTTTACCAAGACATCCAACACACCGTCATTCAGCAGGCGGAACAGAGGAATCCAGGTGCCGTCACCGTATACCTTGCTCTCAGTCACTTCTATGGACCCCATCCCGGCTAACAGCCACAATCGACCTGTGTCCACTCTTTGGAGGTTGTACAGCACCATATGAATGAGCTCCTTGACTGTCGCAACTTGACGCCCAGTTCAAGGAAGGTTGTGATCCTTGTACAGATGGATCACCAACTACGCCGTGGCAGCGAGAATTCCAAAGAAGGCCAAAGAAGGCCAGCAAGGCAGAGAGACATCCGGAGAGAAGTGGTTGATCAAACCAGCTATCGCCTGGCTCAACCGGGTTGCCGGTCCAAGAAAGCCCACCAAATATACTTATATAGAGCTGATGGTCCTCATCGCTGCATGGGAGAAGATGAATGATCTGATAGCGAGGATCCTGAAATGCGATTCGAGCAGGGACTAGGTTTGTCTGAAAATCAGCGATATTCAGGAGAAGAATGAATCCACGATTGAGCAGATGCCAACATCACAGATCACCAGGCAACCCACCAGACGAGCTTCTCGAGAACCAGGGCCGTACGCTCGGTAAAACCCTGTGATTACACCATACACCTCAAATAACTGCATGGAAGGACGCCACATAGAAAGCCACCAACTATATCTCTGTACAACTGACGTACTCGAACAAGTCGGAGAGATGTCCTGGCAGTACAGCTGGGACAGTGCTCGCCATCAACATCTCCGCAGGGCTGCTGGGAAGACCGGGGAACAGAAGTTCAGAAGACAATGACCTTCTTGAAGTTTTTCAACGCGGCACCACCGAATCGTCAAGGTCCGATGGAGGGGATATGCCGGATCAGCACCGTCGTCCATCATAGCGTCCTCAGCTTTGTACGGTAATCCCGGCATCGAGCCGTGGCTCTCCCATACGTTGCAAGCCGACAGCTAAGGACATTGGGCTACAGCAGTGAGTGGAGTAGGAAAGAAGGAGTTCTTTGACACATCTGAGCTGGAGATTGGTTCGCAATGGCACGAATTGTTACAGGACTGACATGGGGAAGTTCCGATTTAGCATCAAATGTCTCGCGACGTTGATACTACAGAATGCTCCCAGGCACACTTGTGGTTGAAGACATTCCTGCTTGAAACAGTACTACCTGGGGTACTCCTGCCACCAAATTCTTTCTCATTCAGGGGTATCAAGTCATAACTTCATAAGTCATCAAATCATGGATATCAAAGCTCATCATCTTCGTCGTCGCTTCGGAGCTCCACGATATGCTCAATCTTGACCTCCGTGCCGTGCTTCATACTCTCCTCGGTCTTCACCTCGGGTTCACGCTTGACCTCGTTTTTGACGTCGTCCTCAGTCTTCAACCCGTCCTTCGCTGTCTTGACGTCGTGTTGATAGAACTCTTCCTCCTTGACAAGACCGGCAAGTACATCACGCCGGGCATGATAGAACCGATCCAGACACTCTCTCCGCTCAGCTTGCGTCCAGTTCTCCACGACCAGAGCAAAAGACACTACATCGTCACCATACCCTGCCCAGCGTGCCATGCTGCAGAACTGGCGTCTCTGCACCACTTGCGGAGGCTTGTATCGGTACCGGATATCACCATCAGGCGTGATGATTGAATCTCCTTCTCCGTCTGAATACACCCGGTCTTGGTTCATCTGAGACTGCGATCCATCTTGAAAGACTTTGGAGAGTTGTTCTTGGGTATCCCAATTCGTCTTGTTGCTCGCGGCCTTTTCGGCGCGGTTAGACAGGTAGGCTTCTACCTTGGAGGTGCCGATCACTTCGCTGTTTTCATGAGTGTACGAAACGCCGACAGAGGACAGAATGGCTTCGACAGGATCATGCTTTTGCTGTGCTGCTGCATCCGGCCGGAAAGAGGTTTTACCACGGGAGCGTGGCTTCTGGTCTCCAATGATCTCCGCCACTAATTGGGACATTGCGGCGTCTGCTGCTTCAGTCTTGATGAATTGGCGATTGCCGTCCTCGTCTTTCACGGCAGCCTCGTCGTCGGCAGACTCCTGCTCCTGTTCTTGGGTTTCGAGATCAGCAACTCGTACGCCCGCCTTCGACTCTGCGACATTCGTCTTGTTCACAATGTCACGTAAGACTTGGTTCTCGTTCTGGTAGGCAAATAGATTCCGTAGTCCGAATATCTCGCCCTTCTGGTCTGTACGCCCCTGAACACCTTGGAAATATCGACGCTCTGATGTTGCGTTGTAGCCAATATTGGCTTGCTGTTGCTTGTATATCTGTCGAGCGTACACAATTTCTTCCATTGTTCCCTGACTGACCAGCCGAAACACTTCAACGTCTCTTGTCTGACCAATCCTATAAGCTCGATCTTGTGCTTGCAGATCATAGCTGGGATTCCAGTTTGGGTCAACAATGACGACTTTATTTGCGGAAGTGATGTTGAGTCCAACGCCGCCAGCCCTCGTGCTGATCAGGAATACAAACTGAGATGGATCCGTGTTGAAATCTCTGACAGCTTGATAGCGGTCCTCGTACTGCATGCTGCCATCAAGGTAACTGACATTGAACTTGGTGCTGATAAAAAGGGTCTGAAGCATCCGCAACAACCTCACACTGTGCGAGAATATAAGCACTTTGTTGTCACCCTGGTCGTGCCAAAAGTTCAGGAGCTTCTTCAACACCCGCCATTTCCCGCAATACTCAGGGTTTCCCATATGAAGAATGCTGTCTCGAGTACGATAAATCTCCTCCCATTCGTCAGGCATAGCGATTTGTAACATGTCGAGATCTTTTGCTTGTTTTTCGTTCGAGTCCGACCCTTGTGGGATGAGTACGGCAAGGTGATTCGAGATCTTCTGAAGATTTTGAATGGCAGGAAACACCCATGTCTGCCATGTGCTCTCATCCTCCAACTTCATATGGCAGCACCAGCCTGCTTTCTTCCTGCTACCACAGTCACAGAGCTCGGAGCTGTTCTTGATGGCTTGCACAATGTCGCTTTCCAAGAAGTTTTGATACGCTCTTGCCTGTGTGGGAGTAAGGGGGCAAAAGACCACCCGGTCTGATTTCTTCGGAAGTTGATCTTTGATGAGCGCTTTAGTACGGCGTAGGAAGAATTGAGGTAGAAGGTTGTTAGCCAGCATTTTTGCAGTCTTCCTCGCCCGAGCAAGCTGGTAGTTCGAAGCATCGTGGCTTTGACCTAACTTCAACGGTTCGCATATCGATGTCTTCCAGGTCGACATTGGACCGAGGCGTCCGGGATTGGTCCAATTGAGGAGGGTCCAAAGTTCTTCGTACTTATTCTGGATTGCAGTTCCGGTCAAACCAATACGACAAAGAGCATTGACGTCAGTCATAGCTTTTGTGGTATCTGATCGGTGCTCTTTGATCTGATGACATTCATCGGCCACAACGCAATCCCACTTGATCATATTTATCTCGCTCTTGTGAGCACGATAGGTGTGATATGTGGTGATCATGACCTCCAGCATACCAGCCTGGGCCTCCAGAAAGACCTCATCGCGACGACCAGCGCCTCCGTGATAGGTATCAACTTGCCACCATCCCCAGCGGCGGAATTCGTCTTTCCAATTCTCCATTAGAGTGCCTGGGCAGATGATTAATGTTCTGGGATACTCCTTGCCGGCTCGACGCATCTTTCTCATCCTCTTCTTGTCTCGTTCATCACCTGTCTTGCCATAAGCAGCCGTCAAGAACGCAATGACCTGCACCGTTTTCCCCAAGCCCATGTCATCGCCCAGGATCCCGCCTTTCTGGTAGACGAACAGCTCGTGCAAGAAAGCCACGCCCTTAATCTGGTAATCTCGCAAGAATTGAGCAATGGGCGCCGGTATAAGGCCGAGGGAGTAGGGCAACTCAATGTCCTTGTATTCTTGGACAGCTGTCGATCGTGGGAAGTCTGGCCGCTCTGATAAATGCTGCAATCGCTCATCGTCGGAAAAGTATACATCATTGTATGTTGGTGGCAACCAGAGACCGCCCTCTTTCAGTTGTTCAGTGCGTTTATCGAACTCGGCCCTTCGACTTCGGACGTAGTCTGGCATAGTCCATTCCATGAGGTTGTCGTCTGAATCCGACTCGCCATAGTCCTTCAGCTTCCTACGTTTCTTCTTCGGCCCTTGAAGCCCTACACCGGTTGTGGCTCCAGCTGCTCTAGACCGCGGAGGTGGGTTATTCTCTTTTGCAATGGCACGCGCCTTCCGCGCAGACTTGAGTGCCCTCTTTTTGGCATCCTTCTCTCTGTTGTTGAATCGTTCGTCCTCCGACTGCATGTAGTTCAACTCATCGTCCGAGTCCAACTGCACTCGGGAGAAACTAGTCGTGGTGGGGCTGCGTCTTCTCTTCGGTGTGGGCTTCTTCGCGATTTTGACCGCATCTGAGTTCTCGGCTTCAGTGGCTGGTGCAAAATTGATTTCGTATACGTATGGGCGATGCTTGTCGGTATGTCCAGCGTGCGCTTTGGGAGGAGTGATAATCTCTCGCTTGATGCGTGGTCCATCCAAGTCATCGTCTTCGCTATCGGTGAACACCATGATGAGAATTCCGAGGAGGCTGCGCCTCAAAGCCGTAGGGGCTCAACTGCACGAGAAGGAGGCAGGAGGGTAGACGAGGGAAGGCGCATTATTGGAAAGAACGGCACGTCATCGCGTTGATGCACGAAATTTCCGCGGCGGCACGTGAAGATAAGAGATAAGATGATTTCACTCCGCAGGCCCTCGTTCTTTTTATTTTCCTGGCCATCTAGAACTGCACTGACTGTCCTGCAGAGGCAGTCCATGGTACGATTGCTGCAGCTATCTGCTCCAGGTGAGCAACTCCGGCGTCATGCCTCTCGATACCCTCGCAACCTACTCGCAAACTCTGCTACGACAAGATGGTCGACGATGGAATGAGCTCCGCAGAATCACTGCCTCAATATCAACACAGCCGTCTAGTGATGGCAGCAGCTTGCTGACCATGGGCAACACCATGGTGCTGTGCACTGTGACGGGTCCAAGAGAAGGGTATGTTCGTCTCTAATGAGCTGTTCTCTATCCGGTCCCATGCTGATCTTATATGACAGTCGTGGTCAACGAGACAATAACAATGCTATCATTGAGACCGAAATCAACGTCGCACCTTTCGCACAGATGGACCGCCGGCGACGAAATCGAAACGACAAGCGTACACAAGAACTCCAGACCACAATCTCCAATGCGTTCCAGAGTCATCTTTTCACACACTTATATCCGCGATCCACCATCTCCATAACCCTGCATGTCCTCAGCTTAGACGGCGCTCTGCTGGTCGCATGTCTCAACGCCGCGAGCCTTGCCCTTGTCGACGCCGGTGTTCCAATGCCTTCAATACTTGCAGCCATCTCGAGCGGAAGTATCACACCTACGGACGACTCTTCAGCAAAGCCCGAGCCTATTCTCGACCTAAACAATGCCGAGGAGCTAGAATTGCCTTTCCTATCGATTGCAACTGTGACTGGCCAACAAGGAATGGAAGACAGGGTTTCTGTCTTGATGATGGAAACACGCTGCCAAATTGGTGGAGCGAACAGCAAAATGGAGAGTATGTTAGCGACAGGTGTGGATGGATGCAAGCAAGTAAGGCGCAAGATGGAGGAAGTCATCAGAAAACATGGCGCAAAAATAATGCAGAACAGAAAGTAGTTTTGGGCAGATGAAGCTTTTCAAATACCCTGACTGACGTGGTGGATGTACTGCATCAGCTCAAGGGCGATCCAAGCGCGGCGGTCGTCATGTCCAGATGCACGATGGGGCCATATGACCTGGCACCTGCATCAAGGGTAACTATGGCGTTGCGGCTAGGGGCTTTCGAAGACACAACCAGGACAATGTTTCGTTGGATCTAGCACGCTCCTAAAGAGCACTCGGCTGGGTGACAATAAAGACAAAACACGGCCTCCAGCTCCATGGCCCGAACCACCTTGGATACACCGGCATCCACCCCGACACTAAGCTGATCTTCTATCGATCTTCTCAATCACGTCCACCAAGGCATCATTCGTCTGGTCAATTATCTCCTTCACGTCCTCGGACAATTCTCCTTCCTCCGATGCCCGCTGTTGGATGCACTGAGTCAACCGTGTCGTCGCTTGTTGTAAGGCGCGGAGACCAGGATCATCTTGCACCCATTGTGGAGGATTTGCTGCCATCGGGCCTGTCTGCTCGGTGTTAGCGAAGAAGGACTTCGGGCATGATTCAGAACGTACAGTGGATCCTGACTGCTGTTGTGTGGATGGAACGCTTGGGCCGCTTGCCATGTCGTTGAGATAGGCCATGACAGCCTTGAGCAACTTTGTCGTTGGGTTATGGCGGCCATCAGTCTCGGCCTCGACCGTCTCAAAGTACTTGTCTGGGATGAGAGCTCGTGCTTTTTTGGCTGCAGCTGCTTCCTCATCTCGGCGCGATTTCGAGTATTGCGCACCATCTGCCTTGGGTGCCATGTTGGACCGCTTGAGCTGTTGATGTTGTGTTTTGTTGCTGTCGAGCTCAAGCACTTTCGGCAAAGCTGGACAATAGACGAGGTGTTATTGCATCTGGTGAGAGGAGGAAGCGCCGAAGAAACGTCTGTGAGCTGATATATATACTGGTGAGAGGTTAGCCAAACTGAAGAGGATACTGTCCACCCAGCAAGCTTCACTGTACAAACATGTTTGGAGATGGATGCACCGAGGCAAGCCGGCAAATGCCGCTATGCTCGTGCCATCCTGGCAGCGCGTTGTTCAGACTCTACCCTTGGAAAGCCGGGAAGAGCCTTTCTTATACCCAACGTACCTGGCTTCACTGCGATCGTCACCACGCGTCTATCATCACCCCGGACTTCACTGCGCTCGACGTTGCTAGTCATGTTCAGGCAGTCGTGCGCTCCAGGTCCGACTGATATTCATGCAACAGTCGACATTGCTATTGTTGTCGTGCGAAAGACAATGAGTCATCTTTCATAGAGGCAGGAGCGAGAAAGAGAGTTGGAAAGAGTCGCATTGAAGAACAATACAGTACGTCGCGTCTGGGATCTCACGTGGCAAACGTTATAGCACCTTCCGGAAGCTCATTTGGAAGGCTGGAAGCTCATTCGGGACTATTGCTGATGAAGCTGATCTGGCTCAGACAAGGCTGCGACCGCAAGGCTCTGACCTGGCAACTCAGAGATCCGTCGGTGTAATAAGATACTCCAAATGTCCAGAAACATAAGATGCATATACTACTGTTGCTACGTTGTATTTTCCTTGTCTACCTGTCTTAAACGTTCGTCATGCTGTCTGTAACAGTCGCTTTCGCTTCATTGTACGAAGATTGCAGCGCGCTACGGCGTTCCTGATAGCCGAAAACCTAATGCTGATAGTATTGACAATCCTGTTCAGGCCACCAAGCTGAAGCAAGAATGTCGTTCAACAGTTTCTTATGTTATCAAGCTGTCTTCATGTATCGTGAGACCACCAGATGCACGATATAAAACAAAGATATGGGGGATTTCCGTCCAACGTGGACGGTCAAAGAGCATGTCATTCCAGCATCTCATCCAAGAGGATACCGCCGGGGTGTGCGCGATCCACAAACCTCGCGCTTACGGCTCCACGTCAAGCAGTATATCCCTGCTACACCGCGGCCTCTGGCCGACGATGGATATGCCGTCACCTTGATTGTACAACATGGGATGCCGCCGGGTGACAATAAAGAAGCCTGCGAGCCTTTCATGTGGGATCTGCTATGCCAGCCGAATCTGCCGCCGGTGAGGTCAATATGGGCCATGGACATTGCCTCTGCTGGTCAATCATTTCTTTTGAACCGAAAAGAAATAGGAGATGAACCGCATTGGTTCGACAGTTCCAGAGATCTTCTGCAAGTGATCAATCACTTTCAGGCAGAGATGCGACCTCCCCTGATAGGCTTTGGTCAAAGCTGGGGCGGCTCCGTAATCGCAATGTGCGCAGCATGGCATCCTCGACTGTTCGAGGGAGTAATAATGAGCGAGCCAGTTACGGAAAATGGTTATTACCATGCCCTTGAGGCTTCCCAGAATGGAGATCTTGCACACCCGGCAGTTCGCCAACCCATCGGTTTCATGGTCGGTCGACGGAAGCGACACTATCCAAGCCGTGCTGCCCTCAATGAATCAGTCGGTCGGAACGAAATGTGGAAACCATATGACAAGCGAGTTTTGCAGCAGATGCTACGATATGACTATCAAGATTTGGATGATGGACGAGTTGAACTCATAACACCACCGAATCTAACTCTACACCATTTTCAGCAACCGTCTCCGCCATTACGTGGATATCCTGAGCATGAGGACTACGCGACGAGACCTGCAGAGGCCAATCATCCTCCAGGCTTCTACAAGACCGTGCAGATCAGAGTCAAAGAGGCGTTGGCAGACGTAACGTGTAAGATTCTGTTCCTTTGGGGGAGCAAGGGCGGTTATATCAGCAGTGAAAGCTACCGAAAACGCTTGATCGATGCCGCTCAAGCCAAGGGATCAAGACCAGGCCAGATACAGCAGAAATTTGTTCCTGGCGGGCATTCTCTGATTTTCATTGTACCGACAGAGACCGCTGAAGCATCGGTGGGATGGATCGAGCAAATCTGGAAGGACTGGAATGAGGAGGAGGGAAGGCGACGTCTGGATGCGCCCATCGACCCAGAGAACGTCCCTGGGGAGGTTATTGAGCGGATGCAGAAAGTGAGTCGCGTTACGAAGTTATGATAAGCGAAATGCAAAGTATTGATGGTAAAAGGGCCCCTCGTACAGAATATGGGTCTGGATCTTTCTCTTATCTCTGTGTCTCCCCAGATCTGATATGCAGTGTGGCGTAGCAGAAATACTTGTAACGCAATGCATCATGCAGGTACCGATGACAGTCCAGGGTGCATGACGAATCACAGGCCCCTTTAGCGACGACGGCTGGCGTAGAAGCCGAATGCGCCCACCTGGAGCCACTCTGCCACCTTTTTTTCCCTTTGCCTTTTGGGACTTTTTAACCGGCGTCAAACCCTCGATCAACCGGCATTTGTGGAGTGCAGTCTGCTACAGTAGTCAAAGTGGAACGACCTGCACAGTCCATCTCCCAGATACCGGGAAGTCGCCATGGCCTCGAAATTTTGTACCTCTAGCAGGTTTAGTTAACGTTAGAGAACCACCTTCCACTCCCTCCCCTTGGATCAACTGCGATCTCTCATTTGGCCTCCAGTCTATCTTTCGCTGATACTTTCATTCCTTTACACCACTCATCACAGAAAAGCAGCATCCTCTCCACGAACCAAGCCATTGTCACCCAAGACAAAGAATTAATTAATTGTCCACGCCGCACCGGAGTCCTCCTCCTGACCGCCACTTGCGTCTTGGTACAACTTCTTCACCCCTCGCGCTGTGCACGCGACTGACAACTTGGAACCAGGAGCCACTATCTCGGGTCTCGAGCATGGCAAGGTAGCAGCAACCACCTGTGCTTCCTGTCCTACACACGATTCTCTGCGACCGTCCTATTCTCCACCTCCAAAATGAGAGGCTCACACCTCCTTCCTAAACAACTCCGCTCCCTGGGCCAGAGCGACAGCTGGCTGAATCGCACAGTCACCTCGAATCTACTGGCAGTTTGCCACGTTGCCTGCGGACATCCTATTCATACCATCGTTGCCATTGCTCTTCTCGCCAGTACCTCCTATGTTGGCCTATTACAAGAGAGCCTGTTTGACAGTGGGGTCAAGTCTTTACAACACAATGGTCGGGTAGACGTTGAGGCACTCCTGAAAGGGAGTAGAACGCTGGAACTGTCTCAGAACACCGCTTGGAAGTGGCAGTTCTCCGAGGATTTTAGCGTCCCTATAGTGTCGCTGGTGAGTTGTTCAAGAAGCTTCGACTTGAGTATAACGTCTGACACTTCATGTTAGGGTCCCAACCACTACGCTCTTACGACCTTCGTTTTCCCTGATTCTTCCTCGACACAGCTGGCTCCCGAGGTAGACTCTGTTCACGTGCCTTCCAATGTCACAGCCAACAACATCCCGACTACCTCAAACGTCCTCTCATCCATCTCGCACGACACCTCACTCGCATTCTATGCTGCATTTTCCGAACTCCCAGATTTTCTGCGGTCTGTGCAAGAGCTCCCAGCACGACATACACCCTCGACAGATGATGACTCCGCTCTCTGGATCATGAAAGCGGCACGAATAGGTGCCAATGGCTCGCGAGGAACATATGCGACGTGGTTCAAAGAGGGCTGGACCTCCTTCGTGGACCTGATCAAGCATGCCGAGACTCTGGACATTGTCATCATGGCTCTTGGCTACTTGTCCATGCATCTGACTTTTATCTCGCTATTTCTTTCTATGAAGCGCCTCGGTTCCAACGCCTGGTTGGCTGTCTCGGTCTTGTTTTCTAGCCTGTTTGCATTTTTGTTCGGATTGGTGACGACCACCAAGCTTGGAGTTCCTATCAACATGGTCCTGCTTTCGGAAGGCTTGCCATTTCTAGTTGTCACCATTGGGTTCGAAAAGTCCATCATTCTCACAAAAGCTGTGCTTTCTGCATCTTACGATACCAAGCGACGACCAACGGAGAATGGGTCCGCCAACGGGAGCGCTACTGGACCAGTAGTTGCTCCAAATGCACCAAACTCCATTCAGGACGCCATCCAGATCGCGGTCAAAGAGACCGGATTCGAAATTGTTCGGGATTACGCAATTGAGATTGCCATCCTTGTTCTTGGTGCAGCTTCGGGCATCCAAGGTGGTCTGCGACAGTTCTGTTTCCTGGCGGCATGGATCCTTTTCTATGACTGTGCTCTGCTCTTTACCTTTTACGCCACCATTCTCTGCATCAAGCTAGAAATCAATCGCATTAAGCGTCATGTCGCATTGCGCAGAGCGCTGGAAGAGGATGGCATCAGCCACAAGGTCGCCGAAAACGTGGCCACTGGCAACGACTGGCCGAGTGGTTCGGCGGATCACACCGGATTTAACATTTTCGGCCAGAAGATCAAGGCCAATAGCGTGCCCAAGTTCAAGATCTGGATGGTCACCGGCTTCATTATCATCAATGTTGTGAACCTTTGCACGGTGCCTTTTCGCACCATGAGCAACATCAAGGCTCCGGGAGCTTCTATACCAAGCGTTTTGACACCCGCGCCTATCGATCCTTTCAAGGTTGCAGAGAATGGCTTGGATGCGATATATGTGATGGCAAAGAGCAGGAAACTTGACACCTTCGTTACTGTTCTACCACCTATCAAATATGAGTTCGACTGTCCATCGCTTCAACATGACGTTCAAGACGACCTCGGCTTCTTTGATCAAGAATATACAGACCAGTTCTTGAACGTTGTAGGCGGTCGTGTCATTGGAGGAGTCTTGAAGAGTCTCGAGGATCCTGTTTTAAGTAAATGGTTCCTCATTGTCCTGACGCTCAGTCTGATCCTGAACGGATATTTGTTCAATGCGGCGCGCTGGAGTATGAAAGAGCCACAGTCGTCGACGAGTTCACCAGAGGGTACGAAGGCTCCACGGCTGGAATTATCTGCGGCACCAAAACCCAAGCCGCTCAACCTCGACTTATCAGCCACATCAGATCGATCATCAGCTGAGGCCGAGCAAATGCTGAAAGAAAAGAAAGCTGCATTCCTTACAGACGAAGAGTTGATAGAGCTCTCTTTGAAAGGCAAGATCCCGGGTTACGCCATTGAAAAGACCCTAGAAAACCTAGAAGTCATGACTCGGCTGGATTCATTCGTCCGAGCAGTCAAGGTACGAAGAGGTGTCGTGTCGAGGACGCCAGCTACCAAACAGTTTTCAGCTGCATTGGAAGCCTCCAAAGCCCCCTACAGAGACTACAACTATGAGCTTGTCCACGGCGCCTGCTGTGAGAATGTCATTGGGTATCTACCTCTGCCTCTTGGGGTTGCTGGTCCCCTGGTCATTGATGGTCGAAGCTACTTTCTTCCTATGGCCACGACTGAGGGTGTACTAGTCGCTAGCACAAGCCGTGGTTGTAAGGCCATCAATTCTGGTGGCGGTGCTACTACCATCCTCACTGCCGACGGAATGACAAGAGGACCATGCATGAGCTTCCCGACCGTAACCAGAGCCGGAGAGGCTAAGATATGGTTAGATTCGGAAGAAGGTCAGAAGAGAATGCGAGAGGCTTTCAACTCCACCAGTCGCTTCGCCCGATTGCAATCTATGAAGTCGGCGATAGCTGGCACCAACCTCTATGTCCGATTCAAGACAACCACTGGAGACGCCATGGGCATGAACATGATCTCCAAAGGCGTTGAAAAGGCCCTCAATGTCATGTCAACCGAATGTGGCTTTGATGATATGGCCATCATATCACTCTCTGGCAATTACTGCATTGACAAAAAAGCGTCGGCCATCAATTGGATCGATGGACGAGGTAAAGCAGTCGTTGCTGAGGCCATTATCCCTGGTGACGTGGTTCGGAACGTGCTCAAGAGTGATGTGAATGCTCTCGTAGAGCTCAACATCTCGAAGAATCTGGTCGGTAGTGCTATGGCAGGCAGTATTGGTGGATTCAACGCCCATGCTGCGAATATTGTCGCTGCTATGTTCTTAGCCATGGGTCAAGATCCGGCTCAGGTGGTTGAGAGCGCCAATTGCATCACGCTCATGAAGAAGTAAGTGATGCATCTTGATTCTGTGAGGGAGATGACTAACATGATTTAGTAACAACGGAAACCTACAAATCAGTGTGTCGATGCCCTCCCTGGAGGTTGGCACTATTGGTGGTGGGACCATCCTCGAAGCGCAGTCGTCGATGCTTGATCTGCTTGGTGTGCGAGGAGCTCATCCCACCAATCCTGGCGACAATGCTCGACAGTTAGCTAGGATTATTGCAGCAGCTGTGCTCGCTGGTGAGCTTAGCTTGTGCAGTGCTCTTGCAGCTGGTCACTTGGTCAAGGCGCACATGGCGCATAACCGGAGTGCAGCCCCAACGCGGACTTCTACGCCTGTGTCTGCTGCAGTTGAACCTTTCCTTAAGGCTCAGAATGGGTCTAACGTCCCTTCGTCACTGAAGATGACGAATGGGAAATGAAAAGCGTACCGACAGTGTACACATGAACCTTATTGTATATACGGGCTGTTCGCGTGGCGTTCAAACTTTGTAGGAGCATAGATGGATGGTAACACCTGGTATGGTAATCCACAGTGAGGCAATTCTCCTGGGCCGGGCACAGTGTGCGATACATGTCTCACGAAAAGACAGTGCCCAAGCAATACGAAGACAATTAATGTCAATCAAGTACGACCTTATTATCATGACCTTCATAATCTGTGTGAGCAGTGACAAGCAACCGCCTGGTGCTCGCTAGGTGACAATGCCACGGTTTCTACAAAGCAGCTGGACGCAAAGTTGTGGAAGGAACCCTACACATCTGCTGGAGGGGAGATGGGCAGGGCAAGTCTTGCGCACAGTATGACCAACAATATGTTGCATTGCGCCCTTTTCACACGTGTAGCCTACCTCTCTAGCTCATTCTCGCGCTTGAGTGAGGTCCAACTCTACAATTCGTATCGATATGTGGCCGGCGTGGAGTGGTTCGCGTGTTGATGGGTTGGCGTCGATGACCGCGACCGAGACCAATCGGTGCACCGTATTGACGCCCTGGGGCGAGAAGGCTGAAGTAAAAGGCCCATCTCCTCGGGACAGGAATGTCAGATCCCTAGCGTGAGATTTAGTTAAGGGGTAAAAAGGTTTTATGGGCGTGGAGGTGTGAAAAGCCTGGAATGTTCAATTGCTGATCTCGCATAATGTTGTTGTTGCTCGTGCAAATTGAAGAGACCCAGCATTGTGGTTGAGGCCGAGGTGTGCATATGCGTCTATAGCTGAGATGAATGTTGAGAGAATGGGATTGATGAGGAATGGAATAAGTTAGGTGGACAAAGGGTGACTCGTACTTGGACTGTCGTTCAGGCTTGACGTTTCCAAAGTACGGAGTCGAGTGCCTTACACTTTTTTAATTGACCCCTGCCGCTTGCGCCTGCAGACACTGGACATTGGACACTGGACACTCACCTTCCACACCACGCCACACCGCAACTGTTTTTCCTCTTCCTACTCCAGCATTCCTTCGCTGCCACACTCGTTTTTGGTTGTCTGGTGCAAAGTGCCGACCGTATCTCATCCCATCGGCCTATAATTGCAGACCTACTCTCCTTTTCTGGCGCTGCAATCGCAGTCACGGCTGCGACATTGGCCAACCCGGTCGTCCACGCCCTGATTCGGCTGCATATCCTCTGACACATTCTGCTTCACCTGCAAACCCTACACCGAAAAGCTCCAAAGTCTTCCTCGCTTCACCTGGTCGCTCGAGAAGACTCCTAGATACCAGATCATCGTCAATGCTCAACAAACCCTTGCGGATGACCCAGTGAAGTAATGCAAGCAACAATGCCGCCTCCCTCACGAGGGTCGGAATTATCTCCCGTGTCTACAGGGAGTGAGTGGTCGGGCGTGAACACATACAACCAACTCCCGCGCAATGATGGCCCTTTCGCACCATACAAGTCCTCCGGCGACGACTATCCCCTCAAAACACCACCTTTTCCTCGGCCTCAAGCCAATGGAAGCATGTCCTATGGCCCAGGCCCCCTCGACCCTTTCGGGCAACGACAAACCTCGGAGTCTGGCTCTCGAGGCTCGTCGAGAGCCGGCTCGGTTGCCGCCTCCCGGTCGAGTGATGGGACCATCTCGGACGAGCAAAGTAGGAGATACAAGAGAATGGAGGCGCAATTATTCCAACATTATACCATACTGAAAGGATATCTGAAAGGAGGCACGCAAGTTCCACCTCGCCCTAACAAGGCTCGTGACAAGCTCTTGCGTCTCTCCCCAGTCCAATTTCACGAATTAAGCACCGACGTCTTTGACGAATTACAAAGAAGACAAGCCGCGGCGCCCTTACCAGGACGGCCACCACGGCAACAAAACGTTCCTCCATTCTTACAACCACGTCCCGACTTCCATGAGAAGCGCAACCAAGCCAGACAGAAGCTGTCGTCGCTCCAAGCTCCGCGCTTCAAAGATCTGTCAACCGATGTCTTCTGCGAACTGGAGAGAAGATTTCCCCAGTTTGCGCGCGGTGATGGACCACGGAGGGAAAGTGACCGATCACATTCGAGAGGCCCGACAGGCAGTTTCTCCTCTCGAGACGGCTCCAACGGCTTTGGTCCTCCACCACGCGCTCAAACTTTCGGTTCCGGTCCTGGCTATTCTCAACGAAATGAATCTGTCACGAATATTCCACAATTTGACAACCCTCCGCCCAGTGACTACGGTCGCCCAATGGCTAAACAGTTTCAAAGCAACACCATTATGCCCAATAAGAGTATGATGGTAGAGGACGAGGACGATAGTCAAGCCATGGATTCCAAGTATGATCGTTCCAGCGATGCGTTTGGCCTAGAGAGTTCTCTTGCCAGTCCACGAAGTGATCGAGATACATCAGCCACTTCGCAAAGCGGGGTCAGCTCCAAATACAAAAGCAATCAGCCAGCCCTGACAGAAATGGAAGACAGGCTCTCTCAGTTGGAGCTGAGTTTGGAATCAAAAGATGCCGAGATTGGTGATTTGACGGCTCACTCTGATCAGTGGAAAGCCACGACTCGAGAACTGGAAAAGAAGCTTCAAGCGGCAGAAGACCTAAACAAATCCTTGAAGGATGAAATCGAAAGGTTGAAGGTGGAGCAGCCACATAACAGCGGAGAAGACGTCCTTTGGAAAACCAAATACCTGCAACTCGACCAAAATCACGAGAATCTACAGGGTCGCCTGGCGCAACAACAAGAGCTGACTGACGAAGTTCGCCAGCAAGCTCAGACCTTCTTGCAGGAGATGAGAGCCATGGCCGAATCAGGAGGCAATCTGGACCGTGAGCAGAAGCTACAAGCAGATGTTCACAAACTCGAGGAAGAGGTCAAAGAGTGGAAGGCTCGATATGTCAAGACCAAAACCGCGCTCCGCAGCGTTCGAGCCAGCTCACTAGGACTCAGCATCGCTCGTCCAGATGCCAGTCGGCACGCGGCTGCTCTCCAGGATCAAGCAGGCTTGGTCAAAGACGTCCACGTTACCAAATTCCAGATCTCCATTGATGAGCTGCTCCGTATCGCCAGGTCTGACAGTCCTGCTGCTGTACTTGACCATATGAAGACAGTGGTATTGGCTGTGCGGGCCATCACTTCAGACATTGACGCGGATGCGACTGCGGACAAGTCTGACGAGGTCGCGAAGCGAAGGACCAAGCTCAAAAGCAAGGTGTCGGCTACAGCCAACAACCTCATCACGGCATCCAAGAATTTCGCTTCCGCAAATGGGCTTTCCCCTGTCAGTCTTGTGGATGCAGCGGCTTCGCATTTGACGGCGGCAGTAGTCGATCTTCTGCATACCGCGAAAATTCGTCCCACCCCTCCTGGTGAGCTGGAAGACAATGACGACGGCACACTCGAACCAATGCAGAGCAATGGATACTTCAACATTGCCGAAAGCCTTCGAAGAAGAAGTGCCGTCGAAAGCATCTACAGCGCTCTGAGTACTCCGCCCGATACTAGAAATGTTTCTATGCAAGCGGCCCAAAAGAATGGCTCCGGCTATGTGAACGGTGCGGGACTTGGTATTCAGTCTACGTATGGCACCAGCCAAGAGGAGGCGGACCTTGAGGATCTTAAGGTATGATCTGTCGCTCGAGTGTGTGATTTTTGAGCTAACCCCGGTCTAGATGTACCTCGAGGATCGAACCGATGTATTGGTCCAATCCATTACTCTCTTCGTCGATGCCATCCGCAACGATGAAGATATGCCTGTGGTCCGCGACCATATCTCCGCCATTGCCGCCACGATCGAAAACGTCGTATCATCGGTGGAACGAACAAGGAATGAGCCGTCATCATACCAATCAATTTTGACTGAGAGGTTAGGGCCGATTATCTCGATCTTACAGGACTGCGGGGAGCAGCTTTCGCAGGCAAGTACGAATTCGACAGCCTATGAGGGGCGACCTGAGAGCAAAGAGTTCATGCAGAAGCTACCTCCCCTGGCGTTCCAGGTTGCACGAGAGACAAAGGAACTCGTGTCAAGAGTCATGGCCATTGAAGCGGGACATGGTGAGGCCGAAGATTTTAGCTGATAGCAACTCACCACAATACGGGAGTTTGTACGGCTGGAAGACGAAAGTGCTACGATGTTTATGGGCATGAGTATCGATGTATGATAATGTATCAATATTGGTTAGATACCTACTGTTGATGTGCCACCCCTTGATGGAAGCCCTTGAAGCCCCTTTTTCTCTGGATGCACGTGACAGCTTGGCATCTCGATTGACATGACAGGCTGTCGAGCTTTTTTTCTCTTACAGCTCCATTATCAAGACATTCTCCAACCAGAAAGTTCTTCTCCTGCATCATTGTACATTACAGTATTCGTTTGTAAGATTATATCATTTTCCATCTTGGGTTTCTTTCGGGTTCCGGCCACACGATTTCTCAGGCATCCCTTACGACATCGTTGCGTGGTGCATATTTAGACTAAGCGATTACACCTGCGCCCCCTGGCATCATTGAAAAAGGCGTCGTTCTTGAGCTCTTGCAACCCAGCATTGCTCTGCTATATTTGCTAGCTGGTAAGTTTCTTCTATGGTCCAGCTTCGGAAGGAGTCGGATCAATGGGAATCTTGAAGACGTGATGGAGTGAAGCTGACAGGTGATGCCATCAGTACCTAGCTCTATTTCTCTCTTTCGCCCTTTACCACATCAAATCACGTGCATCACATCACTCGGTGCATTGTTACCGTTGCCCGCCGCCCGCCGCCCTAATAACTACGGTTTTTAACCCCTCATTCAGCATCACAAACTTGGTCAACTATGGCACTGCCCCGCCGCTGTCTCAATTATTCTAAATTTCACACCTTCACCCCACGACTCTCTTCTTCCACTCTTCCAATCACTCATCGACTTCCAACTGTTCCTTCATCCGTCAGATCCTTCTCTTCTTCACCCGCAAGCATGACCATCAAGGCCTACTTCGACGTCGAGTACACCGACGCTGCTCTCGACAGAGCTCGATCTGATGCTGAACGATCCGGCGGCAACGTTCCTCCTCGTAAGTTCACTCACCCCTTGTTTCATTGCCCTCCATTCTTCTCCATGTCAAGGCTCACCTCAGAGCTCCGGGCATGCTTGTGCATCTATCCAGCGGCCAGCTCGCTTTCTCTACACTGCTTCTCGACCATTGGCTGACATTTTGACTTCTCATTTCTAGCTAAGCGTGGCCGTATCAACTTCAACCTCTTCGACGATGTAGTCCCAAAGACTGCTGAGAACTTCCGTGCTCTCTGCACTGGCGAGAAGGGCTTCGGCTACAAGGGTAGCAAGTTCCACCGAATCATCCCTCAGTTCATGTTGCAAGGTGGCGACTTCACCCGGGGCAACGTGAGTTCAGAAAACAAGTTCAAAGAGATGTGGGCGTCATATACTGATACAAATACAGGGCACTGGCGGCAAGTCCATCTACGGCGAGAAGTTCGCGGATGAGAACTTCAAGCTTCAGCACACCAAGCCTGGTCTTTTGTCCATGGCCAACGCCGGACCAAACACGTAAGTGCAGCCACGTCTGGCCCGATTGGAAGTTATATACTAACATTTCTCGTGTCCAGCAACGGCTCCCAATTCTTCATCACCACCGTCGTCACCTCCTGGTTGGACGGCAAGCACGTCGTCTTCGGTGAGGTTGCCGACCAAGAGAGCCTGAGAATCGTCCAGGATCTCGAGAAGACTGGTTCCGGCACTGGTCAGGTCAAGCTGCAGTTCAAGCCTACCATCGTCGATGCTGGTGCAAACTAGAAGTGCGAATCGATGAGACTGCAGTTGGCAGAATTGCAAAACATGGAGAGACGCAGAAGCATAGTACTTTCAAGTACATTCATGAGAGCGAACAAAAGCCAGACTTGTTGCTAGGAGTGACAGAGAGCCCCATACAATAGGCAAATGAAAAGTTGATTCTACTCCATACTCATAACTCTTCGTGGTGTCCTGCGTGATAGTGCGTGATATACTGCGTGGTATAGTGGTAGTTTTTCTTTGTTCTCTAACGTGTTCAACTGTCGATCGATGATGTTCAACGGCAATGGCCGCGACCTGGACTGTGAAATTTCGTTGAGATCTGCTTTGGGGACCCCTCATTCCGATCATTTGCCGTTTCGTGAGCCCCTGAGTCGGAATGGCAAAGTTTCGGTTCTGTCATGACGTGCTTCTGGGAGGTGATTCATCTGGTGCCGCCAGTTTAATGTACTCGATGAGTTTACGTCCCCAGCATGTGAGCTGGAGGTATGTAATATGTTCCCGCCGCGTCGCTGGTGGAAGTCGTGAATTCATTTTCTACTGTGAGACTGCCGTCAAGCTGGAGAATCCTTCCTAAGAGATGAAGAAGCACCGCAAGGGCGGTAGGTGAGGCTCGATGAAGGTAGGAACTTTTATCATCACTGCTGCCCATGTTCGGTCAAAGGTTGTTACCTCTTGATGAATTCGACGTTGCAGCCTCATCATGGTAACTTCGGGATGTGAAGGAACCTTGCCCCTCACTTTTGTCTGCAGATAGGGTCCCTGTCTGGCACACTCCAGCCTTGTTGATTAGGGGGGTTGGGCTAAAAACGCCTAGGTCAGTCTACCAACCGACTCGTCGTCAGTTGACCAATCCTGCAAGATGCCTCGATGGCGCCTGGAACCAATCGACGTCTCACCTGGCGGAAGTCTGCCTTGGCTGGTGGCTTTGTCTCTTCTGAGCTCTGCTGTCAACCTCAAGAGTTTCCTGTCTCATCCTTCGCCGGGATATAGCGATCGGCCGCTTTGTTTGCGATAGACCTTGACTATCACAGTAAACCGGAATTCGCCTCGCAATTATGGGATCGAGACCAATTTCTGATATCGGATTATCTATTGTCTACGAACCAGTGGGTGTAGCACCAGTCGCTGAGCATGTTGACCACGTCACCATCGCACAAACGCTGACTTATGGCAGTATCGTATTCGTGCATGGGCTGCAGGGTCATCCTCAAAGGACCTGGTCCTGTCCTTCTCCGCCACCTCCTGCGCAATTGGACTCTCAAAAGACATTTTGGAAGAAATTGATGTGCAAGCCACTAGGCCGCGGCAATGAACAGCCGAGATCATCCAGGCAGGATGCAACCGCACTCCCCTTTCCTAAAGAGCCTACAGCGACTGTTTTCTGGCCTCGGGACCTCTTGCCATATGACTGTCCCGACGCAAGAATCCTGACATGGGGATACAATACAATGATTACAAATCGCCATAGTGCAGCAAACCAAGATGATATCTTCGCGCATGCCAAAAATCTGCTATTTACACTCCAGAGAGAGCATACGAAGGACAAGGACCGAAGACTCATCTTCGTTGCTCACTCGCTTGGAGGTATCATTGTGAAGGAAGCCCTTCGCCGTTCGCAGGACGCGACGGAGCCCGCGATTCACGGTATAGTGGAGTCCACCTCTGGAATCGTGTTTCTAGGAACACCTCATGGTGGCAGTGCCTCTTTCGCGACTGTCGGTGATGTGATCCGCAGGATTGCGAGCACAATATTACGCATGGACACCAATCCAGCCATATTACGCGCCCTTGGACTTCACAGCCCCGAGCTGGAACTCGGAAGAGAGTCTTTCATTGCATTATGGAGATTGTACGACTTCAACGTCAAAACGTTCCAGGAAGCACTGCCTCTGACGGGCGTCAACGTGGGACTGCTAAATGAAAAGGTCAGTCAACACACGACAATCGAATGGTTGTCTGATTCCGAACTCTCAGGTTGTGCCGAAGCAATCGTCCTCGCTCGGTGATCCTAGAGAACGTGCCGAGACTATTGAAGCCAATCACATGAACATGTGCCGATTCTATGGAGCCGACGACCCTCGCTACAACCAGCTCAGAGGGGAACTCAAGAACCTGGTCGAAGAGATCTCGGCAACCACGCGAGCGGTAGTGCAGCAAGGCACAGACGCCTCACAGGCAGATCTGCACGGCAAGAATACACCCTTAAGCCTTTTTTAATCTGCTGATATGTATTTTAGCCTGCTTGTCGTCCCTGAAATATGCGGATATGGCATTGAGACAACTCAGCATACATTCACCAATGAAAGACACCTGCAATTGGCTATTCGCGGACAAAACTTACCTCAATTGGTACCACCGCAGAGACGCTGACTCTCATCAAGGTCTACTCTGGATTAAGGGAAAGCCAGGTAGTGGAAAATCAACCCTGATGAAAGAAGCTCTCCGGCGGACATCGGTCGACGCAGAGGCAGAGGACAAACTCCTTATGTCATACTTCTTCAACGCGCGGGGAGGTGAACTTGAATACTCAGCTCTTGGTCTCTTCCTCTCTTTGGTGTTGCAGATTGTAGACAATGATTGGCGAGCCCAAGCTAAGATCCTGAAGATGTATGTGGAGAAGAGAGCGTCTACAGCTCAGACAGTAGCCTGGCACCAGGCTGAGCTGGAGGGTTTCCTGGCGGACTGCCTTTCTCATCAGTCGATAGAGCAGCGGATCGAGATCTACATCGACGCTCTAGATGAATGCGATGAGCCAGAAGCTCGAAGAGTGGTTGATTTTTTCCGAGAACTTAGTTCTTCAGCCTTTGCCCATGGGTCCAATCTCAATGTTTGCTTCTCAAGCCGTCACTATCCTAACATATCTGTGCCAGACTGTCCTGAAGTGATAGTCGAGCAAAGAAACAAAGATGACATTGAAAGATATGTGCAAACTACCTTACGAAGGACCCATGCGTCCTACCAGACGTCTCTGCAGGAGATTGCCGTGACGGTCATCCAGAAAGCATCAGGAGTGTTCCTATGGGTCGTCATTGTTCTTCAGATGTTGCGAGAGGACGCGGACAGAGGCTCACCATGGGAAATGATGCAACGCAGACTTGACGATATCCCTACAAAGATGGCTGATCTTTTCGCGGAGCTCTTTAAGAACCTCAACATGAAAGACAGAGAGGAGGCTCTGCAAATGTGGCGCTTGGTTATCTGCACACCTTTTCGCATGCACCTAGTGGAGTTGCATGAAGCTATATCTTTTGATCGCACCGGACGAGCATCGAAATATAGTTTTGGCGCCCAGTACTATTGGGTCAATGACGAACTTCACAGAACACGATTGAGACTATTGTATCTGTCTCGGGGGCTCCTTGAAGTGGTCTCTTCCGACGAAGAAAATTCCCTCGATGGGTCGGTAGTCCAGCCAGTTCATGAAACCGTCAAGGAGTTCTTTGCTGACAAAGGCTTTCTGCTGTTCGGTGTCAACACCCACCGCGACGCGATCGGACAGGGGCATTTCGTACTGAGTAAATTGTACTTCCATTATCTCTGCTCGGAGAAAGTGGGTCATTCTCGGACGGACACTCACCTCCACATCAACAAGCGAAAATGGCCATTGCTAGCTTACGCCTGTGATTGGCCATCCTATGCGCGTAAGGCCGATATACTAGGGTTTGTGGCCTCATATCTCCTTGACGGGTCTGATCTTTGGAAGGCTGGCTTGGTTCGCGAATGGAAGAAGGTCGAAGATCCATCAGTTCCGAAGCGTAAGCTCCCTACATGCGCTCGACATGACACGATCTTGTCATTTCTTTGTGCTCAGCATCTTTTTTCCACGGCGACGCACCTCATCCAGAGACCAGATTTCAGGGTCCATGAAATGGACTCACGTGGCCACACTCCATTGCACAACGTTTGTGGCGAGGCCGACTGGGAGCTGGGTCAACAGCTGGAACGGTTGCTTCATTTGATTCAGAGAACGAAGGTGGATGGAAAGCAACATCATCCAGATGTGTCTCGGTTTCCGATACGGATGATACGGCTGGGCCCCACATGGCCGGGTTGGTGCCTAAATATAGTGGAGGACCGTCTAGAAATGTCGCAGTCTCAGAAGCTGAGCCCGAAGCTGGATGCCGAGCTTGATGTTACGGCCGCTGAAGTTGCGGAAGTGATGGGCCGAGCGCTGTGTCACCAACAAGGACGAAACCTGGATTCCAAGCTGGATGTTAAGGCGCTGGATATGGAGGAAGTTCTGAAAGAGGCGCTATGTTGGGAGCAGGAACGGAAGGTGGATTCGGAGCTGGACGCTAAGGCTGCCACCCTGGCGGAGATTCTGATGCGCAAAGGCGCTGATCCCAGAGCTATTGCACAGGACAGACGTTCACCCGTGGATATCGCAAAGTCTCGGGGCATGAAACAAACGCTGAAGGTGCTTACTCGAACATCGACAGCCACCGACCTCAGCTCTCTCCCGACAGACAGCCTGGTGGAACCGTTATCCCGAGAATTAGCTGGCTTGGCTGAGCCAGCGGCGGCTGTGGGGAAATTTATACCAGATCTTGCGCTGGAACAGCAGTAAGTCCTTGAGTCCATGTTGCTCCAATGAGGAGGCTGTGGCTGGCATGACCATTTTTCGATTTCCTTGATGAGCTTTGTGCGTGGACGAGTCCAGCTTTCAGTCATGCCCCGGTGAAGAATGCCCAACCGGTTGATAAAGAGGTGATATTACATCATGAGTCATGATTTGGAAGACAGGTTCTTCCGAGCACGAAAGTAGGGGAATGCAAGGGCTTGAAAGATCTGAAAAACAAGTTTGACAATTCATTTCTTCTCGTCCATCAATGTTGCGCATCAAGACATCGGCACCTTCCCATCGTCCCGTACAGACCTTGATATGGTCCACATACTCAACTGAAGATATAGGCAGGGATATTTCAACAGGGACAGCGGCCGTGCAAAGTTGGGTGGACAGACGGAGCGCCGTTGAATGAGGCGGGAAATGACAGTCACGTGACTGAGACCTGCGCAAGGCTGAACCCCCTGGCCAGACTCCGATGTACCATATTTTGCATCCAAGCTGCCTTGACTTTTGGCAATGGATAGCTAACGCACTATCATTCATAGTTCAGATGTTTACGGCGACTGCTATGAACAGATCGCAAGTAGACGTTCTGGACTTGGAATGTCTCTTGGACTCGACCACATATCAAGTTCCCTGCCGAGATCATGCCAACCAGCGTCATATGATAAGAACCACCAATCCACCCAGAACGGAGCTGCAAAAAGATTGAAACGCAGAAGGGCGCGAGACCTCCTTAGTCCATAACCGCACACTTTCCAACCCGAGCCAGATCTTTCCGCTCAACCTCCGTCTCTGATAAGCCCTCAATGCTTTTTGATAGGCAGCTTCCATACGCTGTACGTCTCCTTCCTGCATGGCCGTCACGAAGATCCGGTCCTTGGGATCCAAAGTGACCGCTCGAAGTCCCTCCAAGGCAGCTGCGCAACTACGTGGCAACTCATCATACTTGACTACCTTTGCCACAGCTTGCCCGTCGTTACCAGGAAGGCTGGAAACTGAAAGATGAGTCTGGTACAAAGAGAAATCGTAGACGTTTTGAAAAACCGTGAGGCGCGCTTTGGCGTGTATATTTGGCATCCAGCGTGAAGAGACTCCTCCGGATGACAGAGCCACAACATTTCAAGTACATAGTCCTTGCAGATCGTGAGCTTTCCCCATCAGAGCCTTTATTCGCAAGGTCGCACAGTGTTTGATTAAGTTACGGACCATCGGTTTCCGGCTTGCACAGACGAAAAGCTACCCTGCCTCCAGCTTCAGTCAACAGCCGGATTCTTACTGTCTCAGCCTTTTTGGAAAGCGGTAATGCTCCGTCGTCTTTGTATGAGCTTATCACATTCAGCTCAGAAGACCTAGTTGTACGCACAATCGACGAAAAGGTCTTATCTCGTGCGCAGCCACTAGATAGCATTGCGTGAGCGCCAATCGCTAGGCAGAGCAGTGCGAGTCCAATGCCTGAGGAATATGCTACTATCAACGGCAAAGGCGAGTATTTCCACACCGTGCTTGAGGAGGTGGTTGCGCAGGAAGTATTGGTAATATTGGTGATCTGGAGGCGCGGCTCAGAAAGCAGCGAGATAGAGATATTGTGAGAAAGCTCCTCGATGAGAGGACCAATTTTCAGGTGCGGGATTGCCAATTCAGCTTGGCCGTATGGACTGCTTCCGTTGTATTGACTAATCAGAGTCGGCACCAAAGCAATGGTTGTCTGGTCGACGAGAACCTCTCTTGGATCTCGAAAAATGCTACCATTGATCGTGGATATCAGTATCTGGTATATCGCTGCAGTATCCAGGGCGGCTGGAGTGAGGCTCTGTTGAACTCCGTTTGGGCCAATGGGGCCGGCATCGGTAGGTCCTCGACCGTTCCAAGCGGAGGACGAGAAGCCGACGCTGTTAATATGGCTGACATTCAGGATATCATTGGTCTGTTGACCATCTCTGTAAGTCACTCGTAAAGTGTAGGAACTGTTCATGAAATCGCAGAAATAAACATGGACGTCAAGAGCTTGCTGAACAGACTCATTCTCCGACAGAAGCTGCGCGAAAACGTTGCTGACTCCGACCCATAATTGATTGGTGTTTTCATTGAGTCCAGCGTAGTAAAGACGGTCGTACAAGGTCTGTTCATTCGCAAAACTGTAGTTGTACCCGCTGCCATATCCGGAAAACCAGTACGAAGCATTATCTGCATAGGAAGGCTGCGACATGGTCCATGGGGCCTGGGGACTGTCAATGTCCGGTGTGCGGGTACATCTCAGGGCTGGTGCAACAAAGTTGACACTGTAAGTGCAATTTGAGCCGCATGGTGACGTCCAGCCTAGTTGTTGTCCACCCTGGTATGTAGCTGTCACTATCCTTCGGGCAGTCATGGAGGGGGTGTAGGTGACACCTGTGTATGTTACCGTAGACAGTGCCAGGGATGTACCATAGTCTTGCCAGTTCTGATCAGTCATGTCGAGCGTCGGCACGGCGCATTTCGACATCGAGAACGACTGTGTCAGTAGACCCACAGACAGAGCCGTTGGAGAGACCAGAGCTATCAAGGGCATGAGCCAGACGACGACCGCGACCAAGGCGGTGAGCAAGGCCGATCTCCACAAGTCCACGACGAACAGGCTAAGGAATGATTCTTGAGCGTTGAATAAGGCGTCGATTGCCCTGATCGTAACGCCGTCCGCGTCCTCGGTGCGGTGCAGTGTAAACCAGAGCCTTTGTACATATGCGAGTGAGATGGTCGCAGTTACCGAAAACTTGACCACGAAAGCCATTGCAAGTGAGTATCGATTTACCCACGCCTGGTTGGAGACTGGTTTGTCGTTCAGGGACTTCAGGAAGAAGTGATGTCCGAAAGCCATGCCCACTGCCAGCAGGAAAAGCCCCACTGCTGTTGTAGGAGTTACCCAATGAACGTTTCTGCTCACTGGTGGTTCTTCTGCCTGCTGTGAAGTTCCATCAGATCGAAGCGGTGGTCCGTCAGTCCACTGATACGCGATCGGGACAGGTTTCCTAGCAATTCGTTGCTCGTGAAAGAGCGAGTTCGCCTGATGTTCGGAGGTCACTCGGCTGTTCTGGGTGTCATTATTCGACAACGGTCGTATCAAAGGCGTAGACACTGGTTGTGAGTGGTGATCTTGTGGTATGAGCGCTGCCATTGGCAAATGTGGCCTTCGGGAACGGAGAAAACTCCTTGTGTAAGGCGCTATGAGCCCCAACGGTGGCAATAATTTTAAGATGTACTTTCTGAGTCGTGTGACGTCTGCAGTCTCGACTTTGGTGGTAATGGAGATACGGAGTCACATGAGAGATGAACAGTCCGTGTCAATTAGTGATCTCTGGAGGGTTTATGTTGAGAGCTGTTCGAGCACAGCCTTGCTTGGCTTTTTCCACCTACCTATCGTTGTTCCCGGTGCAGCAGAGGGTCAGACGACTGTGATTGAACGGGGGCAGGCTAGTACGGATCATGGTCTGATGACTTATCTAGGTCTTGAGGCATGAACGTTCTGATCTCGTAATTAATGTTGGGCTGGATGTCGTTAGTCTCGAGACTGAGCCCGTTGTCATGAGCGAGTCCAGCGTCAAATGCAGCCTACATAGGAAGGATCACAGGGAAAATGTCCATATTAGGTCCAGCATTTGCGGCTGAGTGCATAGTCAGTGAAACTGGCAAGTGGAATCTCCAGTCACTTCTCGCCACATCAGTCAATCACAGCCATTGCAAAGGCCACAAAGGTGGAACAGCTGCCACGAATACGAACCTGGAGATCGAAAGAGTTCGGCGGCGGGAATGCGCTTTCATAGAGGGAGGGAGCAGCCTGCGGCAGCCTGACCAATTTTTCCTAGAGCGCATTCGCACCACCCACTGATTGTCTCTAGGGTGCGAACGTCATCGAAGACGCAAGGCGCTTGAGGAAGATATCAGGAGTTCCCACTGGAATTGACGATGCCCTCTGAAATTCCTTGGGAAACGCTTCTCTGAGACATCCTTCGGTTCTCGAATCTGCCGGTCAAAAACATCACTGCAGCTTGCATATCTGTCCGCATTTTTGACAGACCAGCCTCAGTCCAGTCCAGTCCAGTTCAGCTCGAAGCTAATTAGCGTGCGTGCGCGCCCTGCCTGACTCGCCAACCTCTTGACGTACGGCAGACGTACAAATTAAGTTAGGTCGGCGCCTGGAACAGCGTTTGCAGCGGTAGCGTGGAAGCAAAGACTCCTTGCATAAAGCTTAGATGAGCCATGTGGCTCACATCGTGAGGATAGTCACTTGGATTTCTGGGGCGACCAGTGCGAGGTTTTGAAACAGAAAATTTGGTATCATGGGCTCTGCTTCTGGTTCAGCCGGACACCAGTCTGGCTCGCTTGACAGGCACATAGGAGGGGAGCTGGCAGCTAGCGAGTCCTTTGTGAGACCAATTACCATCTCGGTTTGTCCCTACTACGTTTATGATTAGGCAGTTACGCATCCGAGCTCATCATCATTCATACACCGAAACATCAGCTAATCAGACTGAGCGGGGAACCCCTATGATTCATAGTCTGGCCGCGCTGCCAAATGTAGTTGCATCTCACCCCAATCGAAAACGATAAGAGTATTGCGGAACAGATTGTCCCCGAGAGACTGGTAGCCTCCAGGTGACATGGTCTGGAAGGCACTCAGGCACCCTTGGTTGATGGACTGCTGGTGGATCATATCTGCCAGATTCACCTTGAATGCCTGACCGCCGATTACGTATTGGACACTCGGAGGCGTGGCACCGCATCCCACCTCCCAGGACCCGTCAACAATCGAGCCCGGAGGGTCGAACAATCCATTGATGGCAGCTGCCGTGTCGGGAGTCACGTAGGAAAATGCCGCCCCCGAATCGATGACGAACTTTATATTTTCGGTGTCACTGCCAGAGGTGGTGTCATCATTGCCGTACCAGAAGACTCCGCCAATGTCGACGGTGTACAACGAGGGCTCAGCGGCGTCGAAGTTCGGGTCGATCAGGATCGGGCTGCTGGCGAAGGTTGTGGCCGCATTGACACGAGGGTCGGTGTGGTCCGGTACGCCGCCGATGGCCAGGTAGCCGCCGAACCCGGTTTGAGAAGCGTCGCGCGACAGTGCCAGTGAGAAGTACGAGGATGTTAAACCCTGGACGTCGAAAATAGTGTTCATGACAACCGAGTACTGCAGTCGATTGTTCGCGCCATCGAATTTGGGATTCGACCCAGAGTAGATGGCCGACGGCCCAAAGGCCACGCCCAATATACCAGAGGTAGTCCCGTCGCCGATGTCGCCCCCCTTGAGTCAAGTTAGAAAGTAAGCCTTAGAGCCTCAAGTCAACCTGCCAGGAGAGACGGGAAGGGTGAGACGACGCAGCTTGTATCTTGGCTTACCGAGGTCACGATTCCAACTTTCTGACCCTGGACTGTGATGCCGGCAAACGAAAGGCTCTCGTCGATCACGTACCCGTTGGCCCACTGGCCATACTCGTAGGTGGCGTTGAAATGTTGCTCCAGGAGGGGCTGAGTCGAACTGTCGGCCTCAAAGCCACCCGATCCGAAGTAACAAGAGCCAACAGGGTCGCATGTCAGCGTCGACGACGCCACCCAGACGTTGGCACTGCCAGTGTCGACCTCTAAGAAGAATGACTGACTCCCAAATGCCACCTCGACGGCGGGTCGACCATCGTTCCTAATGTCCAGGAGCGACGCCCCTCGTCGACGCCGATTATTCCCGGAATCTGGCACACGAAGTCGACGAAGTTCCGTCGGACTATGGATGCGGCTAAACGTACCGATGTGACGCGAGGGCCGCAAGTCAGGCGCGTGAAAAAGAGGCGAGCCCGCCGTGATGCCAAGCAGCGGCACAATAAGCAGCAATGCAAGCGCTGAGACCATGCTGCCCAGGGATGGAGAGTTGCTGAAATCTGCTGTGGATGAAGCAAGTCACTGTCAAATATGAACCGTGATGGCCTCGGCGCCTCGCTGATCGTGCAGCGGCAATCAGGCCCATATATGTCCTCGAAGCTGGACTGGACATAGACAAATGTCTTTCCATACTCGGCTTGGTGCCTTTCAGCTCTTCAAAATTTGGACGGTGTGGCCTTAGGCTGAGTCCCCAAGGCATGGTCTTTTTCAAAGGGTGCGCCTCGACGTCACCATCAAGGCAGAATACGGCGGCTTCGCCTTGCTTGATACGTTAACCCCAGACAGCTCCTTCAAAATAGCTCGCCGCGCAGGTGGCAAAGAGCCCTTGTGCCCGCAACGCAAGGTTGAAGGGTGTTACCGCCACAGTCCTCCTCCGCGCATAAACATGATATCAAAATGTGGTCGACCACAACGACTTAGGTGAGCGAGGTCAGAGGGTATTCCCTTTGTCAGGCGAAGGTAACACGAGGTAACACGCATGCGGCCAAGGGAAACTAAAACCGCCATCCATATCGGGACGTCTCAATTGGGAATGCCTCACCAATTGCTGGACTGATACGGGCAGACATGAGCAGCAGCTAATCAAGTTAAGAGAGAGCAGCGCAGAGATGCAGAAGCGAACTTTCAGATGTGCGTCCCAAAGTTTCGCCAGACCAAGGGACGCCAGATACTTAGTGCCTGGCTCGATGAAGGGGAGATTTTAGCGAGAGTTCTTAACTTATCTAAATTCGGCCGGCCGGGGGTGGGGGCTGTACCAGTGGATTATGCGGGGCAGGAACTGCATGCCTTGCCCCGGCGAGTCAATTATTGTACTATAAGTTAAGCTAGTACTTCCCCACACAGTCCAATTCTCCCTCGTGGCTGTCTACCTCGCTTAAAAGAAAGCCTATTGAACGACCTTTGATAACGATGGGGGG